CTTGTATCCACTTACTATATAGGTGCACTTTGTAGTTCCACATTTACAGTCTGTAGTCCATCTGTTACTTTGCATGCTTTGTTAGCCCCCTTTTACCCTGTTCTTCAGTGGTCAGGACCCCCACAGGACCACCACAGAGCAGGTATTACTTGGGTGGTGGATCATTCTCAGCACTGCAGTGACAGTGATGTGGTGGTGAGTGTGTAAACACTGTGTCCACTCACTGTCCACTCTATTAGACACTCATACCTTGTTGGTCCACCTTGTAAATGTTAAGTCAGAGAAAATGGCTCATATGTTGCTGGACAGTTTGTGTTAGTCATCCTCATCAGTGCCCACAGGACACTGTTGGCTGGATATTTTTGGTTGGTGGACTATTCTCAGTCCAGCAGTGACACTGAGGTGTTTAAAAACTCCAGCAGCACTGCTGTGTCTGATCCACTCAGACCAGCGCAACACACACTAACGCCACCACCACCACATCAGCATCACTGCAGTGCTGAGGATGATCCACCACTCAAATAACACCTGCTCTGTGAGGGTCCAATGGAGGGCTTAACCATTGAAGAACAGGGTAAAAGGGGGCTAACAAAGTATGCAGAGAAACAGAAGAACTACAGACTGTAAATGTAAAACTACAGCAGCTATAAGATAAATTGAGCTGATAAATCTGACAAGTAATGTAGATACAAGGTAGGTGTACCTAATTCGGTGGCCGGTCAGTGTAAATAAACATGTATGTGCTGAACAGGTATAACTCTAAAAGTTAACATGATAAATTATCACCACTACTGTTTTTTTAAAGCCTGTGGTAGTGCAGGCAGAAGCCCAGCTGCTTGTGCGCTGTGTGTTGCTGTGGTAGAATCAGGGATCGTAGCCCTCTCATATCATTTTAAAGCGATTCCTTCAGCAGACTACACTGGACAGTGTTGCACAATGCTGGAAAGCAGCAGCAAAGTGGAGAGCTCCAGTTCCCTTCGAGAACCTCCACTGTAACAAGAATCCATGAGCTGAAGCTGAAACCATTAACTGTATATATGATGTATATGATATCCATGCTTATTGGCTGGAATACACAGCCATTGTTGCTGTTACTGGATGTTAGTAATGAAGATTTGTTGAATCATGATTTTCATGTTCAAATTCATGTTAACTTACATGATGAAAATAATATTATTGAGTTATTGGTAATAAACATAATGTAACATATTAGGTATGTCAAACGATTACATGCAGTTGATCATATTATTTTGGGTAGGTAATACAAAAAAGCAGTGCATTTTTAATCTATATGAGGGTCATTCTATGGAAATGTCCATTTTTGTTTACAGATATATTACACTTGAAAAACATGTTAGAGTTACAATTTATTTATATTTTAAAATAAAACAATGCATTATTTTAACACTTATGTTCTTGAGCCATGAATTTAGCAATATTGGTTTTTAAATTAATTATATGGAAGTCGATGCACAACAGAAGTGCTTGTCTTCACAGTCATGTGTAAAGGCTGTGGTGCCATATTTTAAGTTAAAAAACTTTTTTTTTGCAATTTTACCTGCAATGTTCTATACATGGCTATGCAATATATGGTTTAAATAACATAAAGTAAACAAATGCCAAATAAACATTATAAAATATATAATGAAAGTTGTGGTCACCAGGAGTCAGGTAACGAGTGGTGTTACTGTATAACAAAAATCTTATTTTACCTTATTTTGAAATAAAAATCACACTGATGACATCACTTGACTTCCTTTTACCTATTTTCTGAAGATCTATGAAGAGAAGCACATGGTTAGTCCACTGTGTCTTTCAGTTATCAGACATTTTCTCATTTAGCTCATGATTTCATATGAAGCTTTTAGTTGCAGTCACTGGTATAGCCTGCTTTATTCCTGGGTAATTGTGAAAAAATAGAATACAAATGGATTAAATTAGATATTTTAGTGCATCATCCATGGTTGACAACATATGGTTTGATGCTCTGTAGCAGACATTTTGTGAAATGCATTTTTCATTAAAAATGTCTCTGTGTTACCTTTTTTATGTGTAACACCAATGAGGATCAGTAACACTAGCAACTCCTATGGATAGATTCAAAAAAGTGGACATTTCAGTAGAATGACCCATAAAATAAGCTTCATCAGAATGTATTTAATAAATTTGGTAATTAATTACATTAATTTCATAGACTAATGGGCTTAAACTGAGCATGAAAGGCCTGAACTGATACCAGAGCCAGCTTTAAAGTGCATTATAACATAATTGTTTACAATGCTCTTGTGGCTAGATTGTAATGCATATGCAGGCTGACCTTATTGAGTCATACACTTGTTACCAAGCCATGATCTATACTTATGAGCAATCATTAAGGCCTATGTCAAACATAATAAACTATTAGGTGTTCCTTATAACACCCTATAATGCATTTACAATGAAGTATGAATACATGATTCATAGGAAGTGTTATCATAAATACATACTGTGTATAAAGTAGTGCAGAGCTCTGGGTTTTTTTTCATCCTGCCAGTGAGGGGTCATGTCGAGGCTGAGGTAATTGCTGAATAATGTCAGCCTGACTAAGAACCAGAGTAGGCACACACTGTGGTAATAGAAAGTGGATTAGTGAGTCATCTGAAGAGCCGTTTCTGTAGTTCTATAGCTCCGCCAGACATGACCTAAAAAACCCCTCCAACCCTGAGTCGAGGCACCCGCGGCGCACAGCAGGGGGGCATGGGGCTTACAGACGAGCGTGTGTGTATATATATGTGTGTTCATGTGCAGATAAAAAGTGGGGAGAATGCGGCGAACATTGCCGGCGAGCTGGCGAACCACACACGGGGTCGTATCCACGCCGGCGATGTCAGCTCCTCTGTGCGTCTGATCGAACAGCTGCTGGACATTCTGGATGCTCAGCTTCAAGCCCTGAGGCCTGGCAACAAAGAGTCCGCAGCCAGGAACTATAATAAGGTGTTACAGCACACACAAACATGCACATAGAGTCCAAACTAACTGCACTATCGATTATAATCAGTTCAATATGTGAACTGATTATAATATTCAATACAATATGTGCTCATTTTTGACCAGAATCAATTCTCAGGCTCGAGTGTATTGTTTTTGAAGACCTTGTTTATGAGATAACTAGTCCTCCTCAGATCTAACACCAGGGCTGCCAACTCTTAGGCACTGGCCGTGAGACTCACGCATTTAGGTCTAATCTCACACCACAATATCTTGCCGTGCAGGACTAATTTTCAGTGTTGTGCACGGGAGTGGGTGGGAAACCAGCTCACTGGAGGCGGGAGGGGGCCGAAGCGCCACAAATTAATGAACAGCCTAAATAAAATGAAACCCTCACTAAATCATATATATACACACATATATATATATATATATATATATATATATATATATATATATATATATATATACAATGTAGAATGTTAACAGAAAAAGCAATTAAAATTAATGAAGACATTCTAAAGAGTTGCGAAGCAACCGATCATGTGAACACGCAAATTCTCGTAGCTAAGGCCTGATTCACACATGCTGGAAAGTCTTGCTTTTCATTTCGGCGCCCATGTTATATGGTCAGCATTTTCACACAGTGCGTGCGAAGCAGCAGATTCCTAGAGAATAGACCCAGTGCCATTTTTTTCCATGTGCTGCAATGAAAATCAATTAAAATTAAACAGAAAACCACATAAAAATGTAAAAACACAATTTTTGAAATGTAATTAATGACGAAATACTACTTAAACATTCTGTGTTTCAAACAGATTTCCCGGTTGGTCTACCAGGCTTGAAACTTTTTCCTAATCACATGTCGGAATGCTGTCAAGAATAAACAAATATACCGTGCACTTCTACAAATTATATTTTTGTTGAGCAGAGTGACTGATGTGACCATTTATCTGTCTGGATAAATGAATGTCTGTATAAGTTTCTCACTGCTCCACTGCTGAAATACTGTGTGTATGAAAGGTCAGCGTGTTCGAGCTGTAGCGTCACGCTGCTGCATCACTCACACAACACAAAGGTACCAATGTGTGATTCAGGCATTACAGAGATGGCTGAGCCTTCTGTCTGACATCAAGAAGTACAGAGATAACAACGTTATCAATACTGAACAAAAGCAGACCTTACCAGCTTTCAGTCTTTGCTCCTCTGAAGGCTTACATGTTGTCACTCTTCAGAGTTACTTAATGCGACAGAACATTCATTTTATGAGTAAGTTGGGCAAAAATAATATTTGTATGTATTATATTTTAATAAAGGAAATGGCTTTATTTTGAATGGAAATATGACGTGTCCTGAAACAGGTCAGATTTGAGCATGGGTAAAGATCTGATGCTGATAAAACTGTTCAGTAACATATGAGATGGAGTTTCAGTGGCTGAAAAATTAAAAATGTCTCTCAAATGGCTCTCATGAAATGACAGAAAGAAAAGTAAGACGTTTTTGTGTTAAAGACTTCTTTGTAATGACATCATAACTGGTAACAAAACATGCATCTATAACCTACAATAGTGAGCATGAACAGTAGTATAGGATCAATGTGCAACCAGGGCACAAAAAAAAAATACTAACGAAAATAAATGAATAAACACAGGCCCCACTAACCCCCTTAACCCTGTACAGCCCACCCTCGTAGCCACGCCAAACACCCCTCCACCCAACAGGGCCTTGCCTAGCCTGTAAAAATCTCTCTAACAAAATATGAAAGTTGGCAGGCCTGTAAGACTGTGTCCTAACAGTAAGTGAATATCCAAATGTAGTATCACACTGCATCACACAGCCTTGAGGATGTCTACACTGGAACATAAATAAACCAAACAAAATGTAAACAAACCACGGAGCTATCAGATAGTAGTGCTTTACTGATGGAGCTGTCCAGCTGTGGTTTTGGTCTGCTATATTTAATAAAGCATGTAACGGAGTTTGTTTTATTCACAATTTATCATCAGTAGTCTAAATAATACTAGCATTATGCCACCCTGGTGTTGGGCAGCTCGGTTGTATATACAAACCTGTATTTTCTACGTCTGCTTAACCTGGCTAAGGTTACTAACTAGCTAACACGAAACTAAGAATCCTCACCTCTAACTTCCAGCACTCTAGCAATTTCTCTCCAAGCTGTTTACTGAAAGGATGGTGGAGATCCTACATCTTCTCCACTTCATGGAAGAGCTTCTCCTCTTCCATTTCGAGGTGGAATGACAGAACGACGTGATGCGTCAGAAATAGAAATGGGCATCTGTCAAAAACAGCCCGCTGCATTTCTCTGCATCGCTCTCTGCCTCTCGCAGCTGTGGCAGAAAGCTTCACTGATTATAATGGAAGCATTTTGGTTTTGTCGTTGTCGCTCGTTCATGTTGCTTGCTGTTGGGACACGGTATAATGCTGCACCACTAGCTCATTATCTTTACCGTCAGCTTTAGCATTTGCCAGAGACAGCTTCTCATAATGTTGGACGGGAGGCCGCACACTGTAAAATGACATCAGTATTGCTCTGTTAGAGATGTATGAGTGACACAAGTAACAGAATTCTTATTAAGTCAGGAGCAGCAATATGATTACAAGAATCTAAACTGTAATGTGTTACAGCAAAAAGTAGCCCCATTACTGTAACATGTTGCTTTGTACTGCGTTACTTCAAACGCTGATGTAATTAAAACATGAATTGTTTGGGTCAAAGTAATACAGGCCAGTCTTTAAAAGGGAAATGCACTGATTTTTTGCCATTTCAACAGAATTAAGTAGTTAAAAAAGTAAAGTAAAGTAGTTACTTACTGAGTCAGAATTGTTCACATTGGTGGCGATAGGAACCAGACGTCTGAAGTGTTTGATGCCGTTAAAAGCTCCTTCACAGAAAGTTGTTACATGAAATAGTTATGAATACGTTACCTGCTTTCCAAGACACTGTTTTGCTGTGGCCTAAAAGAGCGGAAAGGTTTTGTACAGTAAAATAGTCCTCAAAGAAGACTTTTTTTTAATAGATTTAGCACAATTTTACCATAAACATACATACATACATACATACATACATAAAAAATAAATAAATAAATAAAAAAATAAATAAACACAGGCCCCACTGGGCCTAGCCTAGCCTACGGAAATCTGTCTTATAAAAATGTGAATGTGGCATGACTGTAACATTGTGTCCTAATAACAAGCGAGCATCCAAATATAGTAACACACTTCATCACACAGCTTTCTACATTACATATAGAAACTCAGAAGACGTGTAGGTTCACTGGTTATTTTGGGTAGTAAATAAAATGGCTATATTTGAGTTGTAGACATCATGACCCCAGAAAAGAAAAGCAGATAACTGAATCTGATCATTTTGGAAAATTGTATTTTTCTTTTAACCAAACCACGTTTTTGATTTGCTAATTAGTTTTTAATGTATCACAGTGTGTATTGCAATATGTAGCCATATAATTGCAATATTAGTATACTGCCCACTTCGCACAGCCCTGATAGACAGTGATGTGCACATGCTATCACTCACCACTGCAGTCTGACTTAACCACATATACAGTACTGTTCAGTGTTAGCTTTTACACCCAGCACATAAAAATCTCTTCATTAATATTGTCTGTATGTTCTGTTCTATTGTACCTCACAGTTACAGAAGAGAGAGAGGACCTGCCGTGCATACATTCAGGTACTGTACCTCCCTCCGTCTCTGTGTCTCTCGCTCTCTTTCTTTTTTATTGCCGAACACTGATTCAAGATATGACTCACAGCTCCTGCTCTGCTGGGTGTTTTTTTTTCAGTCCTAGCAAATTTCCATTCTCTTTCCAAACGCCCTCTCGCTAGCGTCGCGCTACCACGTTAGTGCTAGAGACTGTGTTTTTGTGTGTGATGGAGGATAGCGATGTTATTTTGTAAACTGTATCTGCAGCCCGAGGCTGTCTTTGTGTGCTGTTTCTGCTGCCAGTAATGACATTTATAATGGAGTTCTTTGGTAGGGCAGCGTTTGCGATGTGAGATGATGAGTGCTGTGTTTGAGAAGGCTCTTGAGGTGCTAAAGCTGGTTTATGGCATTGAGTTTCGTGCTATTCGGATGTGTGTCCACATATTAGCCCTAGAGAAATGGCTGGAATTGATCACTTACCATTGTTTCACTATGCTTTTATAATGTAATTATGTAATTGCATCACTGATTCCATTGTGAGTTTTATTTACCTTCTGTACTGACAGATTTGAGTCTTTTTTTACAGTCATTTCAGTGCCAAGAAATTATAAAAATGTAAAAAAAAGTCTGCAAAGCAAGACTCTGGAGATAACAATAACTTTTCATCCATCATATCATAATAAAATTTCTCCTCTGCTTACAAATGCAAACGTGGCATGGATTGAAAGTTTTTTGTAATTTTAATGAGTCATGAGGGAGAAATAGGGCTATAAACGCTTGGCATTAACAGCCGATCACCATGTTTTGGATTTTAGAGCCTGTCCGCCTCAACTAGTACTGACTGCAGACTGCAGGAAGGCAGAACAGGACTAAACAACTTAGCCCAAAGGGATCATAAATCTAAGGGCTGTTTTGGTACATGTAATGCATTTGACAGGGAATCACAGATTGACTTGGCTTGGTATAGTAAATCAGCCCCTTTGCAGCCAAATCGCAGTTTTCCTGTGCACTTTTAGTGGTGCTATTGTTCCTCCACAAAAGTCCAAAATAATCAACTTCTTGTGTTTTGTTAGTAGCAAGTAAAACGTCATAGCTGCTAAAATTAAACCTTTTTTCTTTAAGATAAAAGTAGAGCTTAGCCCTCCCATCCCATTTATATGAGTCACCCCTGCTTGAAACAGGGTAGGCTACTTTTTTCTACTCAGGGCACCTGAAGGGCTTATAAAACGTGAAGAGTCCAGCAAGCAAAATACATCTCTCATATTGAAAACAATAGACAAAGGCACCTCAGCCCACAGACATCACAGGTAACATGAACCTAGGCTAAGACAGGACCTACACTTGAGAAATTTAGCCCAATTTCAGCCTCAGTTTGCCTCTTTCAAGTCTTCTGAAGCGATTGTCCAGGTCAGGAGCTTGATCGGAGTGATTGACAATGCAGTTGATTTGGTAATGTAAGAGCAGAAACGAATCTGATCTTCCTTCCAGAGTAATTTCAAACATGTGATTTTTACAGCTCAAAACCTTCCTATAGTGTGAGGCGATCAGCGATGTAATTGAATGAGTGATTCAGGAAGCCGCTAATGAGGGAAATAGAGAGAGGAAAAAGATAAAGTTATATGAATGCATGCCGCATGTTCAGCAGGCCACAGAGACAGTGGAGCTGCTGGTTGAACACTTTACTCTGGATCCACCTCCCATGCCCCCCATCAACTCAAAGCCTGTCCATAGAAGTGATATTGACCGGCATTGAACTCATTTCGAGTCTGCCAGCTTTGCCAAGCATTGCCAACTTTGCTTTCTAGCAGTTGTTATTATCTTGTTTCATTATTTCAATACAAGCGATAAAAATTTGGCATTATGTTAATGTTACTTCAGAGGAGATCAGAATACTCAATATGTCCTACATCTCAGTAGAGCACACTGAGCTCTTTTCCTAGCTCAAACAACAACTTCACAAGATGTTAATGACAGTGAATATCATTGCTCTCACCTATTTTATCTCAGGGTAGTTGTACTTGCTTTCAAGATGAAATATATAAGCAGCAAGAGAGGGCTAGGGTACTGCTTTCCCTCTAGCAGAAGATTCATTCCACAACCCTATTTTCCAAAAAGTTGGGAATATAGAGTGCAGTGAAATCATTTAACCCTAGACTTAATGGAACATAGTATAAATGCAACATGTCAGATGTTGAAAATGAAACGTTTTATTGTTTTTGGAAAAATATATGCCCATTTGGAATTTGATGCCTGCTGCACATTCCAAAGAAGTTGGGACGAGGGCATGTTTACCGCTGTGTTGTATCACCTCTTCTTTTAACAACACTCTGTAACTGAGGAACTGAGGAGACCAATTGCTGTAGTTTTGAAAGTAAAATACTTTCTCGTTCTTGCTTGATATAGTATTTCAGCTGCTCAACAGTTTGGGGTCTCCTTTGTTGCATTTTTTGCTTCATAATACACCAGATCTTTTCAGTGGGTGACAGGTCTGGATTGCAGGCTGGCCAGTTTAGCACCCAGACTCTTTTAATATGGTGTCATGCTGTGGTTTGACATTGTCTTATTGAAATAAATAAGGCCTTCCTTGAAAAGGACGTCATCTGGATGGCAGCATATGTTGGCAAAACCTGTATATATTGTTAAGCATTAATGGTGCCTTTACAGATGTACACATCACCCATGTCATGTGCACTAATGCTTCCCCATATCATCATGGATGCTGGCTTTTGAACTGTGCGCTGATAACAAGCCAGATGGTCTTTAGCCCAGAGGACGCAGTGACTATGATTTCCAAAAGAATTTAAAATTTTGATTTTAAATCAGACACTCTTCCACTTTGCCTCAGTCCATCTTAAATGAGCTTGGACCCAGAGAAGGTGGCGGTGTTTCTGGACCCTGTTTATATATATTGTTTCTTCTTTGGTAGAGTTTTAACTTGCATTTGTGGATGCAATGAACTGGGTCCACAGACAGTGGTTGTTCCTGAGCCCATTCAGTGATTTCTACCACCCAATCTGGTCTGTTTTTAGTGCAGTGATGCCTGGAGGCCCAAAGATAACGGCCATCCAATATTGGTTTTCAGCCTTGTCCCTTGCACACAGAGATTTCTCTGGATTCTCCGAATCTGTTAATGATATTTTGCACCATAGATGATGAAAGAGAAACATTATTCTTGAATTGTTGCACTATTTGCTTGTGCAGTCTTTCACAGAGTAGTGAACGCCTCATTACCTTTACTTTTATACCCAGTCATGTTACTGACCTATTCCCAGTTAGCCACCAGGTGTTTTTTTAGCGTTACACAACGTTGCCAGTCTTTTATTGTCCCTGTCCCAGCTTTTTTGAAATGTGTTTGTGGCATGCGCCCGCCCCCTGGGCCCCGACGATGACGGCCGCGAGAGCCGGCAGGAAGGCGGGGCCCGAACACCCAGCGGAACCTCGCCCGCGACGGCAGGGAGAGAGCCGCGAGTGGGGAGGGGGCGGAGCGCAAAGCCCGAGCTCCTCCGAATAGCACTGGTGCCTCTCGTTGCCGGCACCGTCGTCGTCTTCCTCCTCCTCCCGCCGTCACTCGCGTCACTCGGGTTATTCGGAGGAGCTCGGGCTTTGCGCTCCGCCCCCTCCACACTCGCGGCTCTCTCCCTGCCGTCGCGGGCGAGGTTCGTCGCCGCTGAGTGTTCGGGCCCCGCCTTCCTGCCGACTCTCGCGGCCGTCATCGTCGGGGCCCAGGGGGCGGGCGCATGCCACAGTGTTGTCAGCATATATTTTTCAAAAAGAATAAAATGTCTCAGTCTCAATAGTTGATATGTTGTCTTTGTACTATTTCAATTAAATATAGGATTTAGATGATCTGCACATCATTGCATTCTTTTTTTTATTTACATTTTGCACAGCGTCCCAACTTTTTTGGAAATGGGGTTGTAATTGGTAAAGTATGTTGACATACCATGACGTTTCACTTATTCAGATAGACGTTTCATCTAATCATATTATCTAAGTACTCTCCAAATACTTCTTCAAATAGCAGCAGCATTTAGCCAGAGTGAGTATCAAGCTCCCGTGTCTCTTTTGTCCAGGGGAGAGAGCTAAGTTACAAGCCTGTAAACACTTGGCGTTCTTTTTATACTGATTTGCTCCTTGAGAGTAGTCAAGAGTGTTTGTGCTGTGCCTTTTTTATTTTTTGTAATGAGCTGTAATGAGACAATTATTGCCTCTACAGCATTTAAGGTAGAACAGAAAGTTTGAAAAAGAAGCCAACTTCATCCTCATCTAGTTAGCTTCACTACTCAGACTGTGTTTTTTTTCCCACAGTATTAGAACCTGTTGGTGCAGGTCAATATGATTCTGCCATGTTTTCTTAGGCAAGCAGATGGAGATGGGGCCAAGTAATGTGATGTAGGGGGGTTCTTATAAAATTAGGGTCTTTAATACACTTTAACTATGCTAACATTGTACGTGTTTACAGCTTATTAGTACTAGGAATAAAATAAATAAATCGACTAATGCATCTTTGAACCCTTATTCCTCAGTCAGTTGTGATAATCAAAAGAGCAGCCTGCTTAGTAGTAAGGAGTGTATCATCTGTGTCTGTGTACATATCTTTTTGTGTGTCAATGTGAGGCCGTGCACGTGTCTTTGTATCCATATCTGTTCTTCTATGTGTCCATGTGCCCATGTGTATGTGTGTGTGTGTGTGTGTGCAGGCGGTGGTCCAGACGGTGGATAATCTGCTGCGTGTGGAGGCTTTGGAGTCATGGCGGGACATGAACAGCTCGGAGCAAGCTCACACTGCCACCATGCTGCTGGACGTCATGGAGAAAGGAGCCTTCCTGCTGGCAAACAACATGTACGGCAGTCGCTTCAGTGACCACGGCAACAACATCGGTGAGGACGGGCCTGAGGGTCTGTGTGTGTGAGACAGTAAAACACTATCAGTGTTTAAGCCCTTAAACCCTAAGGACCCCATATGTGAGTCCATATTAATGTTCCTCACTAATGCACTTCATTTACTTAATGGAAATGTAAACTTCCTTTCCACATGAGTACAATTTGCTTTATAGTTAAACTGCTGTTTCATTTAGAGTGTGGCAGGTTTGCCAAAAAATTGAACTAGTTAAAAAAGTCCAGCTGCAGGAGACGATTATAAAGTTTCAACTAATGATGGACTAATTTTTAAGCAAATTTTGGGCTGGATATTTTTGCTGGACATGGGAACTTTGCCCACCATAGAAAACACTAAAATACAGCTACATCTGTGGAGACTTCAAACAGAAAAACAGGCATGGTAACAAGCGTTAAGCAGTGAGAGGTGTTTGAAGTTAATAAAACTGAAAATTGGAGTTTAGAATCTTTTATTTATATAAAAGGTCACATAAAGTTACTTATTTATTTAGTTATATTATGGGCTATAATAATAATAATAATAGGTGCTGACATTATGGAGATGTGTGTTAATGTAATGTCTGATATTCTAAATGGTGCCCGTTGCTGTGGAGAGTTTTGTTTGGGGGAATAAAATGCTGATTAAAGAACTAACAGGTCGAGAGGCACTAATAAATTAGCTAGCATTCCAAATAGTGATCAGCACTGAGTAGCTCATGTCTTATGGTTTTCTAGAGGATGAATAATGGTTACATTAGAGAGCTTTGCTATATGGATCATTCTACCAAACTGGTTCAAATAAAAATTGTGGCTCAAATAAGGCTTCACCCATGGACTAAAACTCTTTGCGTTTCAGTAGTGACATAAAAACAGCATTTTTAAATTAAAGTTTTTTTATTTAAAAATTAAACTCATTATCAATCTAAATCTTTCAACTTCACTTTAAAAGAAATACAATTAAAAACATTTTTTTTATTTTTGAAAAGAAAAGAGAAAAAAGAAAAGAAAACAAAAAACAACAATAAAAATCAACATAAAAAATGCAAGTATTTTTTCACAAGTTCAAATTTAGGGGTTAGGGTTAGGGAAAGTCACCTCGCAATAGAAAGTAGAAATTTTTGTATATATTTAGCTTATTACTATCTCACCTAATGCCTTGGGTTTAAAATAGATCATAACATTACCTTTGTAAATATGTAAATATCTGAATACTTTTACTGTGAGACAGCAGTTTGAACTAATTTGGTGGTGTGGACCATATAGAACATACTTTGGACTATTATTGTTATTATTATTATCATACAGTACAATGCCTTATCACTAATCTTGTCATATATATGTGTATGTACAGATTTGGAGGTGCATATCCTGAACACTGAGATGGATCTACAGGATCTGTCTTTTCCTGAGAATAATCCAACTGACAGCATCCAACTCTCAGCCTCCACAGTCAAACAGTACAGCCGCAATGGTCAGTTCTCTCTCTCTCTCTCTCTCTCTCTCTCTCTCTCTCTCTCTCTCTCTCTCTCTCTCTTTCTTTCCTTTCTCCTTCTTTGTCCTTTTCTCCTCCTGTTCCTCCCTACTGTTTCTTGCACAAAAACATGAAGCATTTGAGCAGTGCCAAATTTTTGGCATGTCAGATTTCTGTGCGTAAGTCACTGCTCCCCCGTGGCAGGACAGATGCGTTTTTAAAAATTTAAGAAAAAATAAAACACAGTGAAGTGGCAGGGTGTGAGTCATAGCCAATATGAGACACAACAGCACAAACCTGCGATCATTAAAGAGCACATTAAACCTGCGCTGCCCCCCCCCACACACACGCGCGCTCCTGCAGGGGCCACAGCACCACTGCACACGTTTATTAGTTTCCCCGCTCCAGCACACCTGATTCAACTCATGAAGGGCTTTGTAACGAGCTTATGAGTTGAAGCAGGTGTGTTAGAGCAGGGTAAACTCTACACTGTGCAGTGCTGCAGCCCTCCAGAGACGAATACAGGCATAAACAAAACAGCAAATTAAAAGTGAGGCTCTCTTTACTAATCTAGAATAACAGTTAATCAACAAAGCTGTGCAAAAAAGATCTGATCAGTGATGATGTATTGAAAAGAAGTAAAAAAAAGAGCCTGTTTTAATTAATCATGGTTGTGATGTCATAACCCCAAACACATTTACATATGACCACACATTTAGCCCACAGCGCTGTAGCCCGTCCGTTCACGGTGAAGTGATAAAATGCGGTGTTACTGCAAACGGTTCAAGTCGGCCAGTCAGAACAGATGTTACATATGTGACATGGTAATGTGGACGTCCTGTTTAATGTCTCTTTAAGTGACTCCAAAGTTACTTTGGAAAATTGGAAAATTACTTTGCATCAACTGAACTGTTGTAGTATTTCGAACTCTCCTGTCTCAGCAGTATTTTGTCTTACTATCAGCAGCCTCTTCTGAACAAAAAAGGGCTCCTTCACATCAGTTTCATGTTACATTGATATGACGACCAGCTACATTGAGGGGATCCTGTATCTGCAGTGGAGAACGGAGTAGCTGGTACTAAAAGCGAGTAGAGTCGAATCTAGTTGAGCCATACCATGCAGAAGTGCCATAAGAATGCTTGGGTTGTGCGAAGCAGAAAATGCAACCAACTTCTAGGGCCCAATCCCATTTGTTATTGTTACCCCTACCTCTTGTTTTTGAGTGTCACCTTGCCCTTGGAACTGAGTTACAAGGGGTAGTGGTTGAAATCTTCCCCTATGAAATGGGACCCTCAAATAGAAAAGAACATTACTTCATTAACAGGCTACTAGTGCTGCTCTGTAGGCAACCCTGCCAGTCTGCAGTGTTAGCAGAGGAGGGTAAAGTTCAGCAACCACTCTGCTGGGTTTTAGTTACATTTAGGGCATCATACACCTTAAAAGAGGGGGCAGGGTGTGATAATTATTTATTATCGCCCACCTCTAATTCTTCAGTGATATGAAGCTGAAGCCAGATATTCGCCAGCTTCTTGTTCAAGTTTTCCCATTCCACTTTAAATGGTGCAGCAGCTCTGACACCTGAGGCACCAGAATGTAACTACTGCACCATTTAAGGTGGAACGGGAAATTTAGCTAGCCAGCTACTGAGACATCAGCACACTACTATTCACTAAACGTGAACGCTCAAAAAGGAGGGGTAGGGCTAAGTGGTAGGGGCAAGGGGTGAAATGGGATTGGGCCTAAGACTGAACTTTGTAAGTGTGGAAAAATATCCCTGCAGATTTTTTTAAAAAGCTCTCACAAAAATAATGGAAGCAGTAATAAAGGTAAAGAGTGGGCACACTAAATGCTGAAAAAAGTATATTTAGTTGTTGAGGCTTTTGTGTAATTGCCAGTATATATTGTACTGTATATACGGTATTTACTGTTTAGAATGTATATTTTCTGCTTTTTATCTTAATAACTTGCACTTAATGGTCTCTGACTTGCACAATCTTGGACTTGAACACTGAAAATGTTTAATGAACACTAAATAAATGTTATGTATATGTTATCATTATTTGTAGTGCTACTAGTAGTATGAAAATGTGTGCATTTATTTGTAGTTACAGAAGAACTGCTAGAAAATACTGACCCTAAGAAGAGCCTACATTATGTAGTTAAAATTTATACTTGTAAAAAAGAAAAGAAAAATTATGGGACACCTTTTCCCCTCCATGTTTTCAACTGGCCCCATTTGCGAAAAATAACCTGGTCATTTGACTTTGAGACTCCTGCTTTGCCTGCATATCAGCAGGGTGGGCCTTGGGCCTATGAGGAAGGGGTTTCTAATAAAGTGGGCAGTGGAACCAGTTATTGCTTGAATTGGCTTAAAAGTTGTAAAACTGACGATATAATAGATCTAGCATAAAGAGGCTAAACTGACGTAAATCTTATTGTTTTAAATCTAGAAACTTCCGAAGTCTGTGATGGACAGTCGTGCTTTGCCGTCTTACTTCAGCTTAGCACAATTCCCAGTCTGATTTACGCTCTTATTGGTTGATAATAACAGTCTAATCAGATTAACAAAAAGCGCTGAGACAATTTCTTTCTTGATGGTTTCTTAACGGCGCTGCTAATAGAATAGCCGAGGAGGCGTGTAGATTACTATCGTTTTCGGGCTGACGGAGCAATCTAGGCTTTACGAATTCTCTCGCTCATTCGCTCTTCACTCCTCTTTTCTCCTCCGTCTCTCCGCCATCTTATCCTCCACTCTCATCTCTCCAACACCTTTTCCCCCCACCCTTCCACCCCCTCCTTTTCCCCCCGTTTTTGTGTTTTGTGTCTGCGCCGGGTTCAGCGGCAGAGGAGAGATTAGGATGATTGAAACAAACGCACATGAAATATTCATGCGGAATAATAAGAGTGAGCGCAGTGAGCGCTGGAGGGATGAATGTTCCGCTGCCCTCTGTGTTAAATCTATCTCTTTTTTTTCTCCCCCAGCAGTCAAAATGAAATGGTCTTTACCATCAGTCTAACCCTCACCCCCTCCCCCCCAACTCCATCTCTCCCTCCATCTCTCGCTTTTTAGTCCCATCTGCTTGTCAACCTTAACACAGTGTTTCCTCCTCTCCATCTCTGTTGCTGTCTTCCTTTCTGTCTCTCTTTCTTTCATTCTTTCTCTCTCTCTCGTGCTCTTTTGCACTTTTGAGTGTCTCACTCACTTTCCTTTCTTTCCCCTACTCTCTTTTGCTCTCTTTCTGTCTCTCTCTCTTTTCTCTCTTCTTATACTTTGTTCTCTTTTTCTCTCTTTCTTTGTCTCACTTGCTCTCTCCCTCCCTCTCTTTCTTGCTCTCCATTTCTGTGATCCCTTCTGTCTCTCTCTCTATCTCCTTTGCTGTCTCTCTTTATCTCTCTCTCTATCGCTGTCTCTCTTTCGTTCATCTTCTCTTTCTCTCTTCTCTCTCACTCTCTCTTGCTTTTTTGCTTGGTCTTATTCTCTCTTGCTCCCCCCTCTCTCTCTTTCTCTCTCTCTCTCTGAATTTGTCACTCTGTCTTCTCTCTTTTCTGTCTCTCTCTGTGTTTATCTTTAATTTTTTGTCTTTCTTGCTCTGTGTGTTGCTGTCATTCTCTTTTTTTGTCACTTGCTCTCTCTTCTGCCTTTTTCTCAATTTTAACTCAGTCCTCTTGTCAGCTCTTAACTCAATCTCTCTCTCTCTCTCTCTCTCTCTCTCTCTCTCTCTCTCTCTCTCTCTCTGTAGGTCAGGTAAAGGTGGTCTTTTTGCTTTATAAGAATCTGGGGTCTTTCCTGTCGACTGAAAATGCCACTGTAAAGGTGGAGGTGGAGCCTGAGCTTGGTGGACGGAGTTTAGCTGTCAACTCGCATGTCATTGCGGCATCAATCAACAAAGAGTCCAGCCGAGTGTTTCTGACTGTACCTGTGGTCTTCACTTTGAGACACCTACAGGTTGGCACCCACACACACCCACACCCACCCACCCCCCCCCCCCCCACACACACACACACACACACACACACATCATATATCTCTAAAGGCAAATCTGGAAGGAAAATGCAGATCAGAGTAACAAACCAATTTTCCTCCATTTACAATGATATGATACATAGTTAATGATGATAAAGGGGTTAAAAATACAGAGAAGAGTTTGAGTAAGAATGAGAATCTCCTAATATGTATTGTTACACCCTTTTTGACATGGTGGGTGATACACATCAAGGGATAGTTTCTCTTAGACAAACATTTCATCCTTCCAAAAATATGATACACACCTGTTAGTTACTTTTAACATTCAGAATCATATAACTATTTTTATGTTATGAGAAATTGCTGAAAAACGTTTGTTGCCTAGAAGCAACACTGTGTGACAGTAGAACGGATTTAGATATTAGCTATAGATAGATTAGATATAGCACTTATGCACCCATTTCAGAGAACACATGGCAATTATTGGTCATTTTTTATTTAGAATTACTTTTTATTTATGTTGTGTGGGTTTTTTTTAGGAAATATCACTTAGAATAATGAGTTTACCATATTAGAGGCTGGAAGCTCATTATAATCAATTCTGCCATGTAGCTGTCAGCATGCAACAGCACGACTCTGTAATAAGAGTCCGGGTGCTAAACTGGCCTGACTTCAGTCCAGACCTGTCACCCAATGAAAACATTTGGTGCATGATGAAATTAAAAAATAAACAAAAGAGACCCCGAACTGTTGATCAGGTAAAATCCTAAAACAAACAAGAACCGGAAAACATTACACTTTCAAAACTACAGAAATTGGTCTCTTCAGTTCCCAAACACATACAGAGTGTTGTTAAAAGAAAAGGTGATGCAACACAGTGGTAAACATGTGCCCGTCCCAACTTCTTTGAAATGTGTTGCTGGCACCAAATTCAAAATGGACAAATATTTTTCAAAAAACAATAAAATTTCTCAGTTTCAACATATCATCACTGTCCAATGAAAACCATGTATCTCCATTTTTGTTGATTTTTAGTTTTCTACATCATTTCAACACACCAGCTGTCCTTTATATTGTGTAAACATTTCATGATGAATGGACCAATAACAATGCTCTAAAATCACTTGAAACAAAATCTCTTTACATTGACTTACATTGAAAGGTAAGAGTGTTTTTGCCTTCTCCTGTAAAGTTAATATTTTGGAGATACTTGTTTTTCATTGGACAGCGATGATATGTTGTCTTTGTACTATTTTCAATTTAGTATAGGGTTGAAATGATTTGTTTTTATTTTTATTTTGCACAGCGTTTTTTGTAAACAGGGTTGTAGAGGTTTTACTGGACCAGGTTTTGTGGCCTAAACTGAAGGCCTAGCTCTAGAAGTCCCAGTTCAACACTGATTAATGTGCATGTGTTCATTTTCAAAACGTGAAAAGCAGTTTCTTCATCTGTTAAAATCAGTCTTGGCATGAATAGTTCTGAACTCTAACTGAAAATGAAAACATCATCATTACTCTTTGCTCTGCTTGCTGTACTGCCTCACTGCTGTGTTATCTTTGTGTAATGACCTGTTCTTTTCTTTTAAATCACTCAATCCATAATACTGATTCCAATGAAATGTCTTCAGTGTGTGTATCTACAGCATCAATCAAATATTTGGACACTCCTGATTTTGAATGTAATGTTTGAAATAATAATTCAAAGAGCAAAGCTCACGCCTATGAGTGAACTTATTTCCCGAAACGTTGTTTAATTATTATTTTTTTGAGTGCTCCATCTCCAAACAAGTGGTTTTCTTTCAGAACTTTACTGAAATGTAGATTTGGAAAATGTTGAAGGCATTATATCATCCTAATTACTTTGCACACCTCGTTCAAAGGTAATTAGTGGAATGTTTGTCCTCGTTAATGCGTTTCAGCCAGTCAGGTGTGCTGTGATGCAGAGATGGGGACTCGAGTTAGCGACTCGGACTTATCGCTGTACATCAAAAGAAAACTATTTTTCTAACCTTACACGTGCATCTTTGCTTGTCAGTTTTGCAAGCAGCATGCACAGTTATTTGTTGCAGTACCATTGTTTTGCAGCTTACAGTGGTGTTAGTTTTAGTGTGGCTTCAAATAACATGTCTTTTGTCTTCTGTTGGTCATACAAAAGTGGAATAAATTGCTGTTTTCGGAAGAAAAACTTGTATCTCCAAAATGGTAACTTTACAGGAGAAGGAACAAGCCTACCTTACTTTTAATGTAAGTCAATGGAACCAGACTTTTTTCCAAGTCATTTTGGGACGTTTCTTTTGGTCTGTTCTTCATGAAATTTACACACAATGTAAAGGACAACAGACATTTTCAAATTATGTCTAAAACTGAAAAACAAAAAATAGAGATACAAGGATTCTTCCGACAGCAGCGAAATACAGAATTTAAAGGAAACTGGCAAAACAACCTAAAAGTTAATAAGGCAACTTAAGCACAGGTTGATTAGCCTGTGGTTTGGATAGTTTGCTGGCTAGCTTGCAGTATATTCCCTTCATTCCCTTATTAGACCATTTTATGGAGATTTGCTTATGTGTAATGCTTAAATGAGACTTAACTGAAGTTCACTAAAGACTTTACTCAGGCTTGCATGAAGTGACCTGTGAACATGACTAGTTTTGATCTCTTGACTTTTATTTTACAATGTGGAAAACAGTGAAAATAAGGAACATGCCCTCTCTTTTGTAGCTGGAGAATCACTTCAGCCCGAACTGTTCATTCTGGAATTATTCGGAGCGTACGATGACGGGGCAGTGGTCGTCTCAGGGCTGCAGGCTGCTGGCCACAAACAGCACACACACCACCTGCTCCTGCTCACACCTCACCAACTTTGCTGTGCTCATGGTGCAGCACGAACCTAATGTAGGTATACAGCCTCACACTTACGAACACACACATATTCAGGCCTGTGCAAAATTCAGAAAAATCTGAAAAAAGCAGAAAACATATGCTTACCAGAAAATTACATAAACAACTATTTAGTGTGTCCAGATTTTACCTTTATTACAGCCTCCTTTCTTTTCAGGAGACTTGCTCTCAGTTTTTCAAAGAAATCTGCAGGGATCTGCAGTCTTAGAAGTTGGTTGCATTTTGCCAGTAATCCCAAACACATTCAGTGACACTGAGGTCTGGACTCTGGGTGGTCAGACCATTATTCTGAGAACATCATCAGCGTCTTTGTTTAATTTCCACATATTATCTTTTTTGCCTGTTTGCTTTTCTCAGTAAGGGCTACTTGACAGTTACACATCCTTTTAGACCTATATCATTAAGCTGTCTTCTCACAGTGGAAGGATGGACAGAAACACCTGTGGATTTTTCAGATCTGAAGCAAGAGTGGAGCTTAGTTTTCTTCTCTCTCTCAAAGATGAAAGTACTTTTTATCTGATGGGGACAGTTTTGGTGGTCTACCAGGCCTCAGACAGATGTTAGGGGCCCCATTTTCTCTGTATCTTAAACATTACAGAGAATCAGTATCTCTTGAAAAATAAATCACTTGTACTTTTGGCTGTTTTGACTGAACATTAAATAAATGAAGGGTGAAGTGTCTCTAACTTTTGCGCAGTACTGTACACCTTCATAAACACTCATATATGGACCGTTTTACAAGCTGCAGTCCCACAGTAAAAAATAAAAGGATTAAGTTATGATCTACTTAAACCTAAGGTATCCATTAAGATAGTAATAAGCTAAATAAACAAATATAATCAATTATTTTCATTTTTCAATGTTTTTTAATCTTTTTGGTTTCTTTTAAAGTGAAGTTGAAAGATTTTGATTTATCATGAATCTTATTTTTAAATAAAAAAAAATTTACCCAAAAATGGCGTCCCACATTTTAATATCAATACCGAAACACAGAATTTTAGTCTGTGGGTGGAGCCTTATATTAGCCACACCCCTGCATATTAGAGCAGGAAGTGAGACTGCATCCCTGTTCCTCATGACCACATGGTGAGCAGTTAGATCCCATTCTTTTGAAGTAAATGTGTCCCAAAGTCTTAAAATCAGTATGTAACATTAAGAATTGTCACTACTGAAACACATATTTTCTGCAATTAATGAAACTTTTTTGTGTTTTAATAAAAAACAGAAGTATTTTATGTTTCCAACTGTTCAAAGATGTGTTTACTAGTCATGTTGTGGCAAGCATTTTTGAGCTCTGCTCAAAATTAGCTAAAATTGTCACTAACAGATTAGTCACTACTGAAACTCAGTCATTACTGAAATATTTGGTAAGGTTCAGTAGTGTTGTGATTGTTTTGTTAGTGACAAAAAATTAATTTGTTTTGTTTTAATAACATAAACATAACTAAGGTATTAAGCAGAAGGATTGTAAGCAAAAGTCCAAGTCAGTTAAAGGTCTGAAATGTTTTTTCAACTCTGACTTTGAACCAATTCGGTAGAATGACACACACACAGCCATCCAGCTACTCAAACGCACAGCAATTTCAGCTTGACATTTTCCAGATATTCATATGACCATACGTCACTCTGCCTAAAGCCTAAGGCATTCTATTTATGCCATATTCTTATTGCGGCTTTATATTCCATTATATTCCATCTCTCTCTCTCTCTCTCTTCTTCTCTCTCTCTCTCTCTCTCTCTCAATCTCTCTCTCTCACTCTCCAGCAGAATCCGGGTCAGATGCACGAGTTGCTGCTGTTTGTAATCACGTGGGTCGGTATTGTAATCTCTCTGGTTTGTTTGGCCATCTGTATCTCCACCTTCTGCTTCCTGAGAGGTCTCCAGACTGACCGTAACACCATTCACAAAAACCTCTGCATCAATCTCTTCATCGCCGAGCTCCTCTTCCTCATCGGCATCCACAAGACACAGTACCACGTGAGTCAAGCTACTCCAGCGTTGAACCATATCACACCTGCTGATTCCACACTGTCTTCACAACATTACTACTTCCCTATTCAAGAGATGCAGGTTTTCCTGGGAAACTAGACATATAGAGAAATAGAGAAATAATGCTGCCTAGATGTCAGAGTGATCATAAACAAGTTCTAACCTAAATGTTGACATTTGCTTGCATTACCCCATTAGTTTACATTTTTACTAGGGATGCATGATGATATGTGAATCATAATGCAGGGGCTTACCTAGGCTGAAGTCCAGGAGTCCGGAGTAAATAAAGCCTCTGATTGGCTGTTTTTTTAAAAAGATTAATTTCCGCTCCACCCAAACACACGTACACCAATGAGTACTTGCAGCAAAATGTATGAGAGCAGAACTCAAACAAAAAGCTCAGAAAGAAAATGAAGATAGGTTATTTTTAATTATTCTCCCATTTTAACTGGGAAATCATGGGGATCATTTTCCTTTTGTGTTTTGAGATGTTTTAAGATGTTTTAAGACCTTGGTGTTTTTATGGTGATGTTAGAGGTTTTACCAGTAAACTCTACTGTGCACCGATGGAGAACTGCCAAAGAGAGTACTAGAAAGAGAGGACAGAGTACTAAAGTTCAAGTTCAGAATCAGGATAAGTTTACATTTCTATTCTAACTAGCTGTGCAGCTAAATAACTTCACAAACGCGCAGTTTTCAAACTTAAAGGTAAGGTGTGAGGTGAAATGTGTTTAGGCTAGTAACTTCAGACTGCCTTCTCAGTGCAAATTTCAAACCTTGACTGTCTGTGGCTTTTAATGACCTGTTTCTGGGTTTAAGTTAATGCAGTAATGGAGAGATGATGAGTGGCGGTGCTGGAAGTTGCTGACTGGCAGCAGCAGAGTGCAAACCTTCATTTAAAACTGATTTTGGGTTTTCGGATGCTTGGTGTCATTCTGTGCGTGGTTAGGTTAGACCAGGCATGTCTAGCTGGGGACCTTCCGGCAAAGTGCTGTGGAGATTAGCGTTTACCCTCAACTAACTCTCTGAATTCAGTTCATGAAGGCCTCGCTAATGAGCCGATGAGCTCAGGTGTGTTTTAATGAGGCAGTGTGCTGAAGTCTGCAGTGTTTTGGCCCGCGAGGACTGGAGCCTGACACATGTGCGTTAGACATTGGTTCGGCTGATTGTTAGCCATGTGACTGTTTCTTTCCATGCTTACTTAATCTGGTGTAATTTGTCCACATCAGTCTGGAGCAGTGGACTCCAACCCTGGTCCTGGAGAGCTACCTTCCTGCAGAGTCTAGTCCCAACCACACAACTGCTGGATCAGATGTATTAGAGTTAATTAAGGGGTGGGGCAGCTAATTGGACACAAATTGGAGCTAAACTCTGCAGGAAGGTAGCTCTCCAGGACCAGGGTTGGAGACCACTGATCTGGGGGGAACTCTGTTGTGTCATTTTACTGATTTTATGGATTTTAACTAGACCCAAAGGACACACAGGCACATACAGTCATGTAAGAGACAGAAAAGTGTGGCAGGTTTAGTGGCATTGCTGACAGCCTACTTAGTCACGTCCTGTCCATTCTAAACTTGAAGGAAAGCAATCGTGCATGTAATATCAAAAAAACAGATCTCTGTAGATCAACACTGCTGACTGTTAATTAAAAGACTGTTTTTACAAAGACAGTAAGAGTATTCACAAGTAAACTAACTGACGGAAGATTTGTGAGATGTGGAGAAATTATTTTACGAAATACTTAGTGAGTTTTTACACCGTTTTAAATGTTTACATTTGGAAGCATTTCTGGCTCATTTCAGCCTCTGTTCGGCCGTAGCCTGGTACTCATCATTCACTGTAGGTTAAAACACCAGCGCAGCACAAGGTTTGGCTGACTTAGTTTTATGCTTTTATTGTTTTAAATTCCAATTGTATTTTCACTTGTTAATGACACTGTTATATTAATTAATAATTAATAATCACTCTCCCCATTGACGTACAGTGTATTTATCAACAGTCAAAAGCAGCTCATCTGACCCTTAATGTGGCACAGGGCAGATTATCTAGCAGTAGTAGTCAGGATTGTCTCACTAGTGCATCTGATCATCTTCTATCAGTCTGAAGCTCCATCTCTCTCTGAGTAGAGCTGTCAGACTCCAGCTGTGAGCCGTGTTTGTACTTGCAGCGTCTTAATAGAGCGACTTGATTGCCTTGCATCCGATTGTCTTGTAATCCTTTAAACAAATGATCAGGGCTTTACATCATTTTACACGTGTTAATCTTCCTCTGTCTGTCTCTCTGTCTCTCTCTCTTTCTTTCTCTCTTTATCTCTCTCTCCCTCTCCTTCACTCTTTCTTTCTTTATCTCTCTCTCACTCTCTTTCTCTGTTTATCTCTCTCTCTTCAATTTAGTTCAGTTCAGTGTGCTTTATTCAAGTGACCACATTTAGGTACTGTATTGCCAATAAAACAATAAGAAGCAAAAAGTTTGAATTACAGAAAGATTTTTAGAGATGCACTGACTGCATTTTTATGGCAGATTCTGATTTCTTTACAGCTATTTGGCCTTTAATTTAATTTAATGGACTAAACTGACATTTAAAATCAGTTTCCTATTTAAATACTGCAAATGTAATTAAGTGCAACATTTAAAGTAGGAGACATCTGGCTGTTTAGTACAAAGAGTCATGCATAATTATGCTACAACATTTTGATATCACAGCAGATAGCGGCAGATTTCAAATACAGCACAGTGCACTTACCTGCCTCACGTTAGTTATAAAATTCCAACACAGATCTTGGCCAGTTCTGATTTGTACATCGCTAAAGATTTTGTTTTAAAATATTGAAGCACATAATTTAGTGTAATGTACATGGAACAAAAGCAGAAAAAACACAATTTACCAGCCCCCCTGCTGAAAACACAGTTTAGACCACCATGAATACCATGCTGGTCTAAGCTGGATCAGGTTTAGCGGGTCACCCAGCATGGTTTAGCTGACTGACCTGCATACCAGCATCCAAAACACAACATATGCTGGTTTTGGTGGTGACCAATAGAGCAGTTTCCATTGCTGCTGACCAGCACACCAGCATCCAAAATACAACATATGCTGCCATGAGCAGCTCTGTGGTCAGTAATTGACCATTGATGAAGGGCTAGAGGATGGCACACATTGTGCATCAGCAGATGAGATGCAGTTTCTAACTGTACATTACATTAAATGCTAAAAACATTCTAACATGACAGAAATGTGGGAATAAATAAATTGAATTGTTGGGATGCCAGAGTGCTTTTGTGCTGATGTTTGTAACTGATCTGTTAACAGAAACCTGAACCTGCGTGAGAGAAATGCTTTAGTCGGATGATTCTGTTTATAGCCTACACTAATTACTTATGATATTAAAGTTTCAAAAACTTTTTTTCCATTTTGTTTATACTGAGTGAAGAAGCCAAAAAAACATAAAGCAATTACATAACATAACTAGCATTACAATAATCCTCTGTGTATGTTCACCATGACATGTTAGCACCAGCCTAGTGGGGTTATATTGGTGCTACATTGGATTTTGATGTCAGCTCTAGTTTAAATAGACATTTTAAGCCATGAAAGTAACACATTATTTACTTTGACACAAGCTAGAAATAATTTGTCCTCCATAGTTTCAGTTACTTCACTAACCGTTTTTATATTTTTCTGCAAAATAGGAATGAGAATTAAAGCCCCAGAGCACTAAACTTGCAGTGTGAGTGAGTGGAACATTTCAGGCTAAACCGGCTGCCGCACTCTGTAATCACTCTTAGACTTCCAAAAACAGCCAGTTATATGCTTTTCTATGACTTTTGCAGTTTTTGTCCATTTTTCTGTGACAGGGTGGACAGACTCGACAGACTCTGTCACAAATAGAGAAAACAACACAATAAACGCAAATTTGAACTCTGCTTTTCAGAACACTTAAATGATGTCACTTTCTCCTTGTCATGTCACTTAATGTAACATTGTGTTATTTTATGGCTAAATCTGACTTTAAATAAGTGTTTTAATGTTAAATTCATATATTCAAGGGTTAATGTGGAAACACATTTATGCATGACACACGTTTGAACTTTTATTCAGTTTTTGACATAATTTGAAAATGTCTGTTGTCCTTTACATTGTTTGTAAATTTCATGATGAATAGACCAAAAGAAACGACCCAAAATTACTTGGAAAAAAGTTCTGGTTCCATTGACTTACATTAAAAGTAAAGTATGTTTTTTCTTTCTCCTGTAAAGTTACTATTTTGGAGATAAAAGGTTTTGATCCGACATCAGCAACATATATATATATATATATATATATATATATATATATATGAATATAAATATGAAATATATATATATGAAAAAGAAAATGTCTGTCTGTAATACAAGGCATTGACTCTATATCTCTACTTCTCTATCTGTTTGATCTCTCTCTCTCTCTCTCTAGATCGCGTGCCCCATCTTCGCCGGCCTGCTTCACTTCTTCTTCCTGGCAGCCTTCTCCTGGCTGTGTCTGGAGGGTGTTCAGTTGTATCTGATGCTGGTGGAGGTGTTCGAGAGCGAGTACTCCAGGAAGAAATACTACTACCTGTGTGGCTACTGTTTCCCCGCGCTGGTGGTGGGCATCTCAGCGGCCATCGACTACCGCAGCTACGGGACCAAGAAAGCGTACGTGTGAAGCGGCCCATTTACACCCCTCTGAGCAGTGGGCGTGACCCCCCTCCGGAAAGCGTTTAGCGTCATTAAGCGATCGCGAAGTCATTTTAGAGGCATTGCTGCGGGACGTCCCTCAGAGATGCACCAAAAAAAAAAAAAGCATCTATACAGTTCATCCACGGCGCTCGCTGGGGAAATATGCCTGATTTATTGCCAATATCAGTACACTATAGAGCTAAATGGATTCTTTTCCTTGCTATTTCTGTCGTTATGAAAAAGCCGTGCGGCAAGGCATGCTGGGTATGTTGCATTCTTTTTTTTATTAGTTCCAGGGTCATTCTGTGAATGAGTGAGACAAGTTAAGCGAAAGAATTTCTTAATTAATGTGCATTCTCGTGGGTGTATGCGTGTGCACGGCTGTGTGTATGTGTATTTATTTTAAAACGCAGCACAGCTGCAGTCTTCCGAGTGTTGACTACTGTGCAGAAAATTAGATGCTGACTCCAGTCTGCTAATGATTAAAAACCGAGCTTAACGATCAGCTCCGCTTTTATTAGTTCTTTATTGCCTTTTTTTTTGGACGAAGAAAGATACGATAAAAACGTAATATCAGGCACGGCAGTAATAATGTTTTAAAGATAAGATGGCAACATTTCAAGTGCTTTAACAATCGATAAAATACTCTTCTTTTCAGAAGCAATAAATGTGTTGTTGGCTGTGATTAATTAGTTGTCTGTGGCACGCTGGGTTACGGCTGTTATTGCTATGTGATTGATGACAGAGCAGTAGATGATGTTTTGTTGTGTGTCTGTGTCTCTGTGCGTGTTTAGGTGCTGGCTGCGGGTGGATAACTACTTCGTGTGGAGCTTCATTGGCCCCGTGTCCTTCGTTATCATGGTATTGTTTTCTCTCGCTCTCGTTTCATCACATTGCGTGCGCTGTTTGACAGCAGTTTACTCTCATTTCCAGAGAAGTGCTCAAACGGTCCAAGCACTCAGCTCATTTGCTACTCTGGAATCGATCTCTCGTCTCTCTTGTCTTTTAGCGTTTTGTTAAAGCAAGGCAGATGTTGAGTGGACTTTTTTGTGAACAGAAAAAAAAGTGCATGAAATGAAAGTAACTATGTTACAGTAGCTCATGAACCCCCACAGCCTGTTGACAGGAACAGTATTGTGTGCCTCACAGTGGAGAAACTGATGTATGGTGGAACGCTCTAGCTCTGATAGCCTTTCTGTAATATCCGCCTTTTAACCTCCAGCTGAACCTGGTGTTTTTGATGGTCACCCTGCACAAGATGGTCTGCAACTCCTCCGCCCTCAAACCCGACTCCAGCCGCCTGGACAACATCAAGTGAGCACAACAGCAGCCTATTAAAGAAACACTTAACTCTCTATTGTGTGATGTGGCCTCAGGGTAACAACCACATTTCCTAACTTTACAATGACAATGATACATATTTAAAGATGATTAAAGGGTAGATACAAAGGGAAGAGTTTGAAAAAGCCACCCCAGAAAAGCAAGTGTTCATCATTTTTCATACATTTCATTCATAAAATATAATTCACATCCATTAGGGTGAAGTTTTACTGAAATATGTTTGTTGCCTTGAAGCAACATTGTGTGACAGTGGAATAGATTTAGCCAGTAGCAAGTGAGGTGTCACTTTTACAGCAGTGTAAGAGAACACTGCAGTTATTGGTTAGTTTTTCATTTAAAATTACTTTGTGTTTTGCCTATTTAGGAAATCTAACTTGTAAAATATTTAACTTGCATGCAATTTTAGAGACTAGAGGCCCATTCTGTTTATATGTCATGTAGCAGTCAGCTTCCAGTATGTTTTAACAGCATCATTAGTTTTGTTTCCAAAATGAACGACGATTCACATTATTTCAAAGTTTCTTGATTTTTTTATATTTAAGCAAAATTTTAAATCACAAAATTTTTTTTGTGGTTTTAAATGATTGTTCAAGAAATCAGAACATTACTCCCAAAGTTTATATTTTGTAAACATAGTTTATTTGAAATAAAATAGAATAATTCTCCTTTTCTTTGCATTTATAGTACTTGAAGATAAACAAATAGTGTTCTTACTTATTTCTTTCCAAATATTTAGATAAAAATCCAGTTTCCCATATAGCACTCTGTTTCTTTCCATTGTTGCATAGTGTTGCCTCAAGGCAGCGTACCCCAGAAGACCCCACATACATTATTTTTTAAAAATGGTTTGAGTTTAGTTATCAGACCCATTTTATGCAAGAAAAGTGAATCAAACATTTTTTAAAATGTTGCTATCCTTTTGCGTGCAACAGAGGGTTAAAACATGTAATATAAACACAAAATCCAAAAGCAAATGTCAGTACAAAATCTTCTATCAGCATTTTTTTAACTTAATTTGAAAACGCTGATCTTTACATTGTGTGAAAATATCATGATGAATGGATCAATAAAAATGGTCAAAATTACTTTTAATTTTCTTCCTTTAGTGGATCATTTCCAGCTGAGACTGAAGTTTTTTTGACACCAGCCATCCTGTTTGCCTGTTCTCTTTCAGGTCCTGGGCTCTGGGGGCCATCACCCTGCTCTTACTCCTGGGCCTGACCTGGGCCTTTGGCCTTCTGTTTATCAACGAGAAGACGGTCACTATGGCCTACCTCTTCACCACCTTCAACGCCTTCCAGGGCATGTTCATCTTCATTTTCCACTGCGCCCTGCAGAAAAAGGTGTGTGTATGTGTGGTGGGGTATAAATCTGCAGGGGGTGTTTTTACAGTCTGACAGTAATAACTGTGGAATAATTATAATCTAGTATGAATCTACAGTGTATGTAGTTTTTACAGCCTGACAGTAATAATTGTGGAGTGATTTAATCCAGTATGAATCTGCAGTTAATGTACTTTTTACAGCCTGACAGTAATAACTATGGATAGTCTTCTGTAATTGGCTGAACCCAGAGCCAGTAGTAGCCAGTACTGTCTACCTCATGTAATGGAATAACGAAGTGTTGTTATTGTTATTGAGTTTGGTGTCGGTTACGTAACACTGACATTAATGACCTTTCAGTCGGGCTATCTGTGGAAGTTTGGATAAATTACACGTGTACTTACACAGGACAAAAGTCAGTCAGCCAATAAAATCCCACAAATTACATTACACAACTTCCTCTAGTTAAACTAATTTGGCTAAAACAGTGTTATTATATTATATTGTAGTATTTCTTAATTCTGTATGTGTGTGTGTGTGTGTGTGTGTGTGTGTGTGCAGGTCCATAAGGAGTACAGTAAGTGTCTGCGTCACTCATACTGCTGCGGCCGCTCCTCCAGCTCCAGCTCACACGGCTCTCTGAAAAACTCCGCCCTCCGAGCCAATAACCGCTACTACACCAGCAGCCAATCACGCCATGCAGCTGCACACAGACAGGTACACACACATGTTTGTTTGTACAGTGTCAGGACATGGGGTCACTCACAACATGGCCAAATGTATGTTGACACTTATTCTAATTAGTGACTTCAGCAATTTCAGCTATATTCATTGCTAACAGGTGTATAAAATCAAGCAGACAGCCATGCAGTCTCCATAGACAAACGCAGGCAGTAGAAGAACTCAGTGACTTTTACTGTGGTGCTCTACAGCATGTCATCTCTCCAACTAGTGCAACAAAGTTCTACCCTGCTAGAGCTGCCCCAGTCTACTGTAAATGCTATTACTGTGAAGTGGAAGCGTCTAGGAGCCAGGGGGGTGCTGAGTTATAAACTGCATCTGGAAGCAATGCCAACAGAAGAACTATTCATCAGAAGCTTCATGGTTTGGGTGTCCATGACCGAGCGGCAGCACAGATGTCTAAGGTCACCAGCTGCAATGCTAGGCCTCAGTTGAAGTTGAGTAAAGCACACTAACAGTGGACTCTGGAGCATTAGAAACATGTTCTCTGGAGTGATGAATCACGCTTCACCATCTGGCAGTCTGACAGACGACTCTGGGTTTGGCGGATGCCAGAAGAACACCACCTAGCAGAATGCAGAGTCCAAGAAGAGGGATGAGGGTCTGGGATCATGGTTTGAACCCTTTTAGTTCCAGTGAAGGGAAATTACTGTATTGCAGCTTATAGTGAGAATCTGGAAAGTTGTATGTTTCTTGAGAGACTTTTAGAGAAAGGCTATTTCCTGTTTCAGCTTGACCTCGCTAATGAAGGCTGAGTGTGGATAGCAGCTTTAATTAGATAGGAAGATGATGTAACAGATACAACAGAGTAGGATCACATTAGAAATCGTTTGTCAGTGTTCTACCCTTTTATGACTGAACGATGGTAAGTAAAGTGTGTGTGTGTGTGTTTGTGTGTGTGTGTGTTTTGTTTAGAGCCGAATCCGTCGCATGTGGAATGACACAGTGAGGAAACAGACTGAGTCCTCCTTCATGGCAGGAGACATCAACAGTACTCCCACACTCAACCGCGGTGAGAATCTCACTCTCTCTCTCACTCTCCTCTCACTCCTCTCTCTCATCTCTTTCTCTCTTTCTCTTTCTACCTTTTCCCTTCTCACTTTCTATCTCTTTCTCTCACTTTCTGTCTCTGTGTCTCTCTCTATTTCTCGCTCTTGATGTTTGTCTCTCTCTCCCTCTCTCTCTAGCTTTTTCTCACTCTTGCTGATTCTGTCTCTCTCCTCTCACACCCCTCCCCTCTCTCTCTCTTTCTTGTACACTCACTCAGAACTTATCACAGTGCATCCACCAATAAAAGTAGAATGGTACTTCTTTTACACAGTGATAGGAAACATGGTAGCACATAGAAACCTTCAGTTTTACACTCTGATACATTTTATTCTGGCCAATGTGGACATGCAGGTAATGTAACTCCGCTAGCAGCAGGTTTAAATGAATTGAGGGGTCCATCACCAGCAGTCTCAGAATGGGTCTCTGGCAAGACGTTCAGTTTCATAGGGTTATATAACCGATACGTCTACAAACATTATGTCATCAAGCTCCTCTGTTTCCTCCAAAACAGGCTAAAATTAAACACAAGCAAGTCTGAAAACAATGCATTTTTTGCATGAGCCAATTTTTTTTATCTTTTGCTCTCTAGCTGAGTCTTAAGGAAGAGTCATACTGACACTCCCACGCCCGCTTCTGCTATCAGCGGTCTTGCGGTTATTTTGTCCAAACATACTTAATCAGATCGTAATACAATTTTCCAGCCCCAGGGAACGTACGCCCTCTTTCTAATGAGGTAAATCTGGCTTTTGTGGGCATGAATTATACACTGTAAAAAACGAGAAGTCCGCTCAACTTAAAATTATATAGTAACTGATTTCATGGCTTTTCTTGAGTTGACTGAACTTTGAGTTCACCCAACTCAAACTTCTTAGATGAGTTGAGTAAAAAATTCTCCCAGCCATGGGTTCTAGGTCTACATTACAGTTAGATAAATAAAACTGAATGTCTGTTTTTTCACTCAATTTCCCCACTAGCTGGCACTCCTTCTATCACACCCATCTGGCATTTTTCCTCTTGGGCTTCTGGATATGAACTCTTTCCATCACTCTTTCTGATGTGGCATTGCTGGGATTTAAACTCACAATCTCCTGATGCTGGGATGGATTATTGGACAGTTGCACCACATGAGACGATGCTACTGTTCAAAGTTAACACAACAAATATTTTCTACAGTGTGTTAAACATTTATGGACACAAAATCTGAGTTCCTGAGTGGTGCAGTGGACTAAGCCATTACCCCAACAGGAGGTTGAGGGTTTGAACCCCAGCAACGTCATAACTATTCATAAGTGTGTACACATAAGGAAAAATGGTCTGCTAGGATTGTGTGATGGAAAGAGTCCTGGCTAGTGGAGAAATTGAGTATAAAAAGCAAATTATTTACCTAAGGAGAACTTTTGAGTCAACTCTTGTGAGTCAACTGGCTGAACTCTTGTGTCCTCAAGTTGAGTCAACTCAAGAAAAGTCATGTAATCAGTTACTATATCATTTTGAGTGGAGCTGACCATTTTTTAGTGTATACATATAAAATATGCCTAATAAATAACTTTTTAGCACCCATTAAATGACCTCTGTATGTCGCCAGAAGTTCTCCCTTTTGGTCTATTTTGATTGGTCATAAATTTGGGTAACGTGTGTGTAAGCTTTACTCTCACCACAAAGCTGATGTGGGTGGTTACCTGTTTCTTCCCTGTAGATGTAGGGTACTCACATAATTTGAATACTTGAGTATTTGTTCATTATGTTTGTATTTGTTCCTCTATTTAATATCCAGAAGCTTTTTTTTTTAACCACTGAAATTGTGACCTAAACTACAACACATTTAGTCAACAAGGAACTTTAGATCGAGCTGTTATCGTCAATGTCCTTCACCAAATTGTGACTTGATTTCTCTTTCAACCTGTTCGCAATTGTCAGATTCATCCCCTCAGTGAAAGAATAGAAGTAGAAGTAAATACTGATGGTACAAAATGTGCAATTACACATGTCCACCAGAGAGGTCTCCAAATCCCTGAATCTTGCATAGTGTAGCTTAATGAGCATACTTAAAATTATAGTTAGTTCTGAAACATAAATGTTGTTTTTATGAGGGAATTTGAAATCTGTAAACTACTGTTCAGCCCAGCTGTAGTTCCCAGTGACTTTTGGTGTTGGTTTATATTAAGCATGCCTACGAATAGTAGCCTGTAGCTATTAATAATAAATGAATCATAATTAGGTCATGAAGCTAAAATTTGCTTTGGAGTGCCTTGGGGTGTACAGTGTGGGCCATAGTGGGCTTAGTCCCCTAATGCTCGTCCAGGGCTTTTTATCTTTATTTTATCGTAAAAGAGTAACATAGTTTTTCTACATTAATTATAATGTTGGTGGTCTTTGTTGTGTGTTCAGTACAGGGAAATAAAAAGCTCTTTCAGTTGTTTCTCCACTCTTCTCCCTCTTCTCTCATCTGTCTGCAAGAGACAGAGAGATAGGAGATGGAGAGAAAGAAGAATTGTGCTTGCTACAGAGGAAGAGAGAGAGAGAGAGAAGGCATGTGTATTACTTTGATTATTCCCATTGAAGGCCATTAGCCGTTGCAAAGGCGGATGGTATTATGAGAGCAGCGCATCGTCAGTGTGCTCTTGATGATGATGATGATGATGATCATCATCATCATCATCATCATCATCATCATCATCAGAGACATTGGGATCAGTGTTGCTGGGAGGAGACGAGGGGCCGGCAGCAGCAGCCGCTAAATCAGCCGCCTCTCTTTATGCTAATTCCATCCATTTTGTTTTTAATGAACTGATTAGAGGCCGAGCGAACAGGGGGTAATTACTCTAATTGAGGAGAGTGACGGGAGCGGCCTCGACGCCACGCACAGATTGCCACTTTCCGGGGACTTTAATCAAGCTAGGAGAGAGAGAACGAGAGAGAGATAGCTACATCACATGCTACGAAACAGAGACAGAGAGAAAAAGAGACTTCTTATTATTACTTATTAGCCGAGGTGAAAAGTAATGAAGTGCACCTACTCTCATTACAGAACAGTAGCTCTGTAATTTTTTGAGTAAAATACTATTGTATAAGTCACTTTTCTGTTTTATGTTGTGCTAAAATAATTAGCATGATATTTTTTTGTTGAAAAAAATCAGGATTATTGATTATACCATGAGTATAAGTGACTTGTGTGCTAATAGCTCCCCCTGCTGGAGAAATTCTAGACTGCTAAATGCATGGACATAAGCTATTGAGTTCCAAAAGTCATATCCACATGTTTACATATTAAAAAACGGGGGTGTTGTTTGTCGTTATAGCCATTCTGAGTCATTCATTCTGAATTTGTAGAAATTTTTAACTCAGCTGAATTATAAATACTTATACCTGCTTTTCCAAATACCGCATAATTAAATGGTTGATGTAAGCAAGTAAGTTTTGACATACAAAGGCAGAATTGTTCACAATGGTGGTAGTAGTAACCAGACATCAGAAGCGCTTAATACCTCTAAAAGCTCCCTCACAGAAAGTTAGATAAAAAGTTAGATAAAATAGGAATACACTGCCTTGTGCCTTCATTCACAAAGATAGGGCACAATAATGACAGTAACAAAGTTTTGCATTCTCTTCCAAGTGTGTTGAGCTGCCCAGTGACATTGTGTTAGCAATAGCTCTATAAGAAGTGCATGACTTCATATGTCTCAGAGGAACCACATAGCAGCATCTCAGCTATCAGCTTTTTACACTTAAAATCACCCTGAGGAAGCAATTAGCTGACAGGCTAATCTTAGCTAAATAGCTACTTTTGATATTTTCTTTCGTCTTTTTTGGATTGTGAGTATTAAACTTTAGGCTGTTGTTTATATTTTCTGTTTAAAGGAACTGTTAGCCAATTTAGCCATGTAAGCTAACAATGTGAGCTAATGTTCAAGGTACCCTGCTGGAAAATTCAACATGACCTGTTCAAGCTGGTGACTAGCTTACTAGTTCAAGCTATGTTTTGAGACTTGGTTGGCCAGTTTGACCATCTACCAGCTGGCAAGCTGGTCACCAAGACGGTTCAGCCGTTAAACCCAGCTCCAGCTGGTAAACTGGTTACTATGCTGGTTGAGCAGCTTGACTAAGTTCAGTAAGTTAAATGTCATGAATCTAAGCAAAGTGAGCTAAGTTGAGTGTGGTTTTGTTGCACAGTGCAGAAATCAAAAACATTTTATTGGTGGATAAAAGTCATTACATTTCAAGTCAAAGATTACAGGGAAGCAGGAATTTAGTCATTTTGATGATAAGATATAATGAATTGTGCTTATTAACCCTTTAAATGGCCAGGGCCCATTAGCAGGCCCATAGGTTTATGTTATGTTATGTACTTTATTGGTCCTACAAGGGAAATTCGTAATTTTGGGGACAGTTGTGGGCTGGAGGTTAGGGACCCAGCCTTCTAAACGGAAGTTCGCCCATTCAACCCCCTGAGCTGACAGTGACCAACTGAAGTGACCTTGAGCAAGGCACCTAACCCCCAACTGCTCCCCGGGCACCGTGGATAGGGCTACCCATCGCTCCGGGCAAGCGTGCTCACTGCCCTCTAGTACATACGTGGTGTTTCACTGCATGGATGGGTTAAAATGCGGAGGTGAAATTTCCTCGTTGTGGGACTAATAAGGGTAACTTAAAACTTTTGCTGCCTAACAGTGGAACCTGGGAACAGCACTGTGTTGCCGGCAGAGAAGCACCACCTGGGGCAGTGGGGGGGTTAAGTGCCTTGCCCAGGGGCACAACCAGGTATACCTAGTCAGTCATGGGATTTCAACCCACAACCTTAGTATATAATAAGCCTGGGATTTTAAAGGGTTAAGACATGATCTAACTGGGTAATAAAGGTCTGTTTGATTTGAGGTTGACTTTAAATCTTGAAGTGCTATTTCTGTGATCTACGTACTGTAGCTAAACATAATATTGAATATAAAGTAAAGCTCACTGAATTGAACAGAGATAGAGGAGGAGACGGGGCGTCTTTTTGTCCTCTCTTTTTGTCCTCTATTTCTGTGATCGTATACCTGTACTCTAGCTAAACATAATATTAAATATAAAGTAAAGCTCGCTGAATTGAACTGAATAGAAAGAGAAGAACAGAGATAGAGGAGGAGACGGGGCGTCTTTTTGTCCTCTCAGAGGAGAGTTAAGGTAGGCGATGGAGAGCAGGAGATGCTGAACAATGAAGAAGCGTCTGCGGCTGCTCCACACACTCACTATCAGCTCCATCAGCTTTATCTCTGATTCCAACACTTCAGCCTGCGAGCGGCTCTCTGCTTCCACACAGTACCACACACTCTCTCCCACCTAGACCATATCTTCACTCTCTCTCTCTCACTCTCTCTCTCTCTCGCTCTCTCTCTCTGTTTCTGTCTCTCTGTCTCTCTATATATACAAATATCTGCATCTCTCTCTCGTCTGTCTTGTTTCAAACTTAGTAAGCATTTTTAGCAAGATACTGCAGTGTGATAACAGCCAGGATTAATCAGTGTGTGTGAAAATGCCTGTAATAATTGCAAAGCGTGTGTGTGTGTGTGTGTGTGTGTGTGTGTGTGTGTGTGTGTGTGTGTGTGCATGTGCACGTTTAGACAAGGTGAGCAGTATGTGTTTGTGAGGGAAATAGGGAAAGAAAGAAGGGAGAGAAAAAGAAAGAGCATGAGAGAAAAGAGGAAAAAATAAAATAATAATAGAATAAAAGAAAAAATGAAAGAAAGAAAGAAAGAAAAAAAGAAAAAAAATTAAAAAGGAAGAAATAGAAAAAGAAACAGAAAGAGAAAGCAAGAAAGCGAGAGAAAGAAAGAGAAAGAAAAAGGGAGAAAGGAAAGAGAGAAAGAGGGAGAAAGAGAGAGAGATATAGGGTAGCTGTGTGTGTGTATGGGCTCTTGTGCAGAGTTCCGTTAGTGCCGAGTTCGTCGCTCTGCGCTCAGCGTTCCCATCTCACTGAGAAATGAAGCGCATTTCAGCTCCGGCATCAGAAACCACATCATAACAGCACATTACCCTCCGCCTTCAAACGCTCCCTCTGACAGCCCCAGAGCCCACGACTGCACTTCAAATACTCTACACTTCACCTTCCCTCCCTCTCTCTCTCTCACACAGTCTTCCTCTCTCGCTCTTCCACTCTCCAGCACCCCCATTCTCTCGCTCGCCCTGTTATCATTCAAAATAAACAGCTTTATCAAATTCCACCCATTACGCCATCAGACAGAGGCAGTGGGGAGATTTTATTTCCTGTGAAAAATACCGAGCACAATGAAGTCGTTCCTGGAGTGCCCTTATCTGAAGCTCAGCGTGCAGCGCGCACTAATGTTTCCGAGTTGTTAACACGTCTAACAACTTTTCTACTGCATTCGCGCCCCTTTCAATTCCCAACTTAAATGCAAGATTAGAATCTTAAAAGGCGCAGTCATGAAGTCCCACTCTCACAGGTGTAGTGCTGTTTTTCTAAACTGCTCTCTCTCTCTCTTTCTCAGGCACCATGGGTAATCATCTCCTGACTAACCCGGTTTTGCAGACTCGTACAGGCACCTCCCCCTACAACACTCTTCTGGCTGAAAGCTTCACACCACCCTCCCCTGGGGTCTTCAACTCCACTGGTCAGTTACATTTACATTTACATAAATGGTCAGTTACACTCAGTAACTGTATTAGACACTGTTTGATCCAAAAGATGTAAGGAAGAAAGAAAGAATAAGAAAGAGAGGAAGTAAACAAGAAAGAAAGAAAGAAAGAAAGAAAAACAACAGAAAGAAAGAAGACAAAAAAGTAATTCAGAAAGAGAAAAAAACGAAGAAGAGAGAAGGAAAAAAGAAGAAGAGAAGGAGAAAGAAACAAAGGAAAAAAGGAAGAAAGAAAAGGAAAGAAAGAAAGAGTGAAAGATGGAAAGAGCCACAGAAAGAAAGAAAAGGAAAGAAATAAAGAGAGAAAGACGGAAAGAGCCAAAGAAAGAAAGAAAGCATAGAAATAAAGAGAGAAAGACAGAAATACCAAAAGAAACAGAGGGAGAAAGAAAGAGAAAAGGAAAAGACAAAAAAGAAAGGCAGAATGGAAGAAAGAGAAAAAGACAGAAAGAAAGAAAGAGAAAAAGACAAAGAAAGAAAGAGAAAAAGAAAAAGAGAAATTAATAAGGAGGAGGAAGAGAAGGACAAAGAAACAAAGACAAAGTAATAAAGGAAGGAAAAGAAATGAATGAATGAAAGAAAGACTTCAGGAAAGAGAGAAATTAATAAAGTAAGAAAAAAAGAGAAAAAAGAAAGACAAAAATGTAATAAAGAGAAAAAGAAAGGAAAAGAGAGAGATAAAGAAAAACAATCAAAGAAAAGAAAAAGAAAGGAAAGAAAGAAAAGAGACAGAAAGAAAGAAAGAAAGAAAGAAAGAAAGAAAGAAAAAAGAGAATAAAGTGAAAGAAAGAAAGCTTTCTGGCTGAAAGCTTCACACTCGTCATCATCCAGGGTCTTCAGCTCCAGCGGTCAGTTGTGGCTACATGACATACGGTCGGATTTAAAGGTGCCAGGAGTTTTGCTCAGACCACATTTTGTGTGTGTTTTTTTTTTATTTAGCAAATGAACATTAATTGTACCTTAAACTGTGTGAGAGAGCAGTGTGTTCTCTGTAGAGGACGTGTTCACTTACTTTCACGTAGAAAAGCAACAAAACGTCATTTGACCAGAGGTGCCCAAGCTTTTGCTTACGACTATATATACGTACATTTTTAATCAATTTCTCACACCATTTCAGTCACGGCCACACAATGATACGATGTTCACACTGAAGACAGGTGTGGGTCACTCGAATGTGAACGGTCAGGGCAGAGTGATCAGATCTGAGCACATGATCAGAATTGAGCGAAAAGGCTTGTAATGTGAAATTTGTGAGCTGAAGAGAGTTTTTGCCTAAATGTGAAGCATTTTTTATGAAGCCAAATGTTTTCCAGAGCAGTGTGAACACAAACTGGATTTATTTTATATTATTTATATTATATTATGGATTTATATTATCTTTATTTCCCTAAATTCAGTGCGAGTGTGTGTGTGTGTGTGTGTCCAGGCCTGTGTGTCTCCGTGTGTGCGTGTGTGTTTACACCCTGTCTGCCTGTCAGTGTGATTCAGAGGAGTGGACAGTGGCTAGAGGAGTGGACATCTGGCCGGTGGTTTGAAATGGATCTGAAGATGAGCATCGATTAGAGCCACGTCAGAGAGAGAGAGAGAGAGAAAGAGAGGAAGAAAAGAAGTGACAAAAAAGGGCAAGATAATGAGAGAGAGAGAGGTGTAAGGGAGAGAGGTAAAGAGAGAGACAGAGGCAAAGGGGGGAGGTAGAGAGAGGTAAGGAGAGAAAGGTAAATGGGAGAGAGAGAGAGGTAAATGGGAGAGAGAGTGAGGTAAAGGGGAAGAGAGAGAGAGGTAAAGAGAGAAAGAGAGGCAAAGGGAGAGAGAGCGAGAGAGAGAGGTAAAGGGTTAGAGAGAGAGGCAAAGGGAGAGAGTGAGAGAGAGAGAAAGAGAGAGGTAAAGGGTTAGAGAGAGCGAGGCAAGGGGAGAAAGAGAGAGAGAGTGACTGACAGCTGAGTGTGAGAAGCGGTTCTCCGGAGGTTTGACACATGGAGTGTCTCAGTGTCTGAGTCTAATCTTTACCCTCGGTGTGCTGTGTGGCTGAGAGAGAGAGAGAGAGAGAAATAGAAGCAGTCTCTGTGTCGGAGGGTGAAATTTAAGACAGCATCTCTGTTGAATATTTTACAAAGTTCTCTCTTGTGCTCCGTAATGCGTCGGGCTGGCGGTCAACTAGCTTTCCACCGCGCAGCCGGCGGCACATTTTTAGAATACTCACACAGAGGAAGCAGGAGGAGGGCGTCATTAGAATGTCTAATTACTCTCTCCTTCTCTCTCTCTCTCTCTTACTCGCTTTCTCTCTCTTTCTCCGATGAGTGTTGATTAAAGTCGTACTCCGCATTAAAATTTAAAGGCTGCACCCACCCGGTGTGTGAGAGTGTCTCACGCTCAATATACAGCGACGAGTTCAAAGGAAACCACACCGCCGCCGTATGAAAGGCGTGCGGTGAAATAATCATCACTGAAGTTTATGAGGTGCTGTATGAATTATGGATCTCTGTCAGAGGGAATCGCTCGGCTCTCTAAACATCCATTCATCTCTGCTGCCCTCTAATGGGTGACGGTGATGGGACGACAGTGCCCCAGTTAACGTGTGGCCAGTCTTTGCAAGCCAGACTTCTTGCTGTCACCAAAGAGTCTCAAGGTTTCATCGCTCTACGCAGCCAAGAACCACCAACTTTGACCAGAAAGGGCTATTTGACTGACATGCGAACTGACCAGCTACGAACTGTTGTCCAAAAGTTACATGTAATGCCAGGCGAGTGTCCAAACGGTGCTGCAAAGTATGCAGACCTGTGTCAAACAAAGTGATATACAGTGACTCAGCAACCACCGGGAAATACTGTGTTAGTAACACCAAAGAAACTGGAGAAACTTAGACGACTCAAGTTTACGTCCATAATGCAGTTTTATTTTTAATTTGCTAAAAACAGCACCAAACACAGCGAGAAGAAACACAGCTTTTCCAGCGCTAACAGCTAAAAACACAGCCCTCTGCTCTGCTCTACTTGAAAAACCCACCACTCCACCCATATTCGGGCTCTTCAACATAAAAGTCCTTGTACGAATGAAACAAAAAACATTTCTTTAAAAAATGTAAAAATAAAAAAAACATTAAGTACTTACAGCGTGGTGACACCAAAACATTTTCTCAGCACATTCTTTGTCTATATTTATACTTTTTAATTGTGCTGTTAATGTTGAAATATGCCATCTCAGCTTGAGCACCTGACTCACGTCATGCTAACGCAGTGCTAGATGGCACAGATTCCCAGAACGGCTGCAAACAGTGCCTCTACTTACTGGACCCTAACTAGAACCATGTATGCCCTTCGTACCTCAAGTTAGACCACCTCCGTCAAGTGCTGGTTAATCCATGCACGCACTGTAATATTACCCCCTAGCCCACCACTGAGAGAGTCCCGCACTGTGAGCGGCGCAACGCTCTACAAGGAAAGCAGCTAGCCTGGACATTTGGATTTTACAGTGGATGAAGCCGCGGGTGTGCTTTCAACATGGGCGTTGGACACGGATCAGAAGACAAAACAACTTTTTTTCACTAATTAGGCTAGCAAATTTAGCTGATGTTATGAAAGGTTATGAAACTAAAATAATAAAGCTAGGTTTAGAAACAATCAAAAGAGTATCTTTTCATTGACAAATTAACATGTTTACCCTGGAGAATCTACTGAAGAAAAAATACATGTATAGAAGGTGATGAGTCCTCATCTGCATCCAATGTTGTACCAGTTAGCTCTAGTGTTAAGCTCACAAGCTCATCTGAAAAGACAAGCTGCCTTCCAAAGCCTAGGCTGCAGCTGAGGTAGGGCAGGTCCTATGAAGGCTCCTCCTTAGTAGCCTATTGGTCACACAAATAGTTCTAACGAGGCTGTGTGGTGATGTCACCAGAAAGGTCCCACCTCTTGCAATTGCGTCACAAAACTCGTGAGGGAACTGGTGAGAGAAAATGGAGCACGTTCACAGAAATGGAGGAGATGTTCTTATGTAGTACAATAATACATATATACAAATACTTATAAGGTAATGATGATGAATTCAGGTACTTACATTTTAAAACAAGCTCTGCTCCAACGGCTACATTTTACATCATTTTTGTGTTGCTGTTTTTTTTTTCCTTCACGTTGTTCGTGTGCAGAGAACTGTGGGTAACCAAAGGCCTGAAAGGATACATCTGTTGCGTCCTCGAAATCACTCAGAATGTAGGCTGCATTTTTAGGCTGTATACGAAAGATCCTTCACTTTGGAACGGCCTGCTATGACACAGCGGCCGAGAAATGCAGCCCAGGCTTTGGAACGCAGCTACAGTCTCCAGTACTCATCCAACATAGAAATCTACTAGTGTCTCTCGGCGAATTTTGAATAATAAAATGTTTTCTCTGTTCAAATGTATTCCTTTCTGAAAGTGCATGCATAGAGACTAGCATGTGGCAGTCTGATGGCAACATCCATTGCTAGGTCTTTTTGGCAGTTTCCTTTGTTCCCGTCTCTTTTAATATGGACACATAGTTCAGATGTGCCAATACTACAATTTATGGCTGAAGCACAGTTCTTTTTTTCACAGGTTCACATTGATATTTTACACCTTTTCATCAATAAATAATTATTTGTAACATATATCTGTGTCTCCATACCCTTTACATTAGCTCAGTCAGTCTGGTACCCACTTACATCTATAGGTGGCAGTAGATACGACAGGCCAGTATACCTCAAGAGGCTCTGTCTGTAGTTTCTATTCCCGACTTGCTGTTTACCACACCTAATGCTACACTTACCTGCTCTGTCCGAAAAGTTAAAATCAATTAATATAGAACATGGGAGTTCTGTTTTATTGGCTCATGTTTTGTTCTGAAGTGCATTTTTAGTTATGTCATTTTACAGTAATAATACTGTTATTTCTGAATTTGTTTTGAGTGTTAGTCATTGTAATCCTGTTGTGATTTATACATACATAGTGGTACATAGTGATATTTTAAATTATGACATATGGACTATGGTGAATATCATAAAGTTTCTTTATGATGGTGGTGGTAGAAATTAAATTGGGTTTAATATGAGGGTGAGTAAGAATAATGAAGAAGGTGTGGAGGATTATGTTCTCATTCATTCCCTCATCTCTTTCTCTCTTTCTCTCTGTCCCGTAGGAACCTTCCGTGACCCAAGTAAGACCCTTTTTCTTTCTTTTTTTCTGTCCAAAGGGACTGTATTTTAATGGCCAATTTTACCTTAATGCTAATCTTTTCACATGTGCAGTGAAGCATTGTGTTTCTATGTACACGATTCCACTCTCTGCTAATAACTGTTCTGCCTTTCATAAACCTATTAATCTTGTGAAGGAAGTTTCTTTCCCCTGTTATTGATTTAATCCCAGATTCTCTTGCTGTGAATCTTTGTCTTGATTAAAAAAGGTAATGAAGTGTTCACTCCCGCCTACCTTCCCTCCTCCCTCCCTCTCTTGCTCCCCCCCTTCCCTTTCTCCATGCTCTCAGAAAGCACCCTGTCTAGGAATCGGGACCACGGAGGCATGGAGACTCTTCCACTGAACGGAAACTTCAACAACAGCTACTCCCTGCGTAGTGGCCCAGGCGGTCCGAGCGGTCCTGGTGGTGGCAGCTGTGACTTTCTGGGGGGCGGAGACAGCCCCCCTCCTCTTCTGAACCCACGTGGGGCGGAGACCCTGGGTGGAATCCGGCGCAACCTGTCGGACGCCGCCGCCTTGGAGAAGATGATCATCTCAGAGTTGGTACACAACAACCTGAGAGGAGGTGGAGTAGGGGTCGGGGGCGGGGCTGGAGACAGAGCCTGTGGTAGCCTGGCCCGAGGACATGGTCACACTCACACAGAAAGGGGCGTGGCCAAACTGGTCCCAGGTCAAGAGGAAGAGGATGAAGACTTTCCGCAGCGGGACGGCCACGGTCAGAGGACACCGCAGGATGTGGAGCTGCTGTACAAGGCACTGGAGGAGCCGCTGCTGCTTCAGCAGTGTCGCGCCCAGTCTGTGCTCTACCAGAGCGATCCAGAGGAGAGCGAGAGCTACACAGCTGAAAGCCTGGGCCACAGTGGCCACAGCGGGCACAGTGGGCACAGAGGAGCCCCAGAATCACCTGCCCGGGACTCGCTCTACACCAGCATCACCAACCTGCGTGACTCACCACCTTACCCGGACAGCAGCCCTGAGCCGCTGGAGGTGGTTCCCCGTTCGGCGCAACCACCCCAGGAGCTCTACTACAGTTCGGGACGACCTGCCCTGGGCTCTCGCGGGGCACCCATGCAAACCTTCTATCAGCCAGCGGCCACCAGGAGGCCCAGTGGCGACGCCCACCCAGCCCCAGAGCCCCCGGCTAATCACGGAGCAGAGGGAGACGGACAGATGCAGCTGGTCACCAGCCTGTGACAGATGGGATGTTCCGGCAAGGGAAGAGGAAAGATAGAAAAGGAGGAAGAATGACTGAACGCAGCGAGGGCTCATGCTGACGCTGATGCTTTCCGTCCCCTTACCAACACCTCTCTCGCGAACCCTGCCTCCTGTCCAGTCGTTCGTTCTTTGTTTTTTTGTTGTATACCTTTGGTTCTTTCAAAACAAGAGGTCAGGGAAGGTGTAAACAGAGACATTACAGAGGTCGCAGGGTCTCCGTGACAGCAGGCCGCAGGCAGCTCAGCAACGGACCTACTTTCTCCCTCCTCCCTCGGTCGATTCCCCTGCCATCCAACTCTCCCTCAGCAACTGAGGATATTTTCAACCATCCCCCCTTTGAATTAAGTTTATGAAACCTATCTGTTTTTTTTCCCCCTTTCGAATCCCTTCTCGTCTTCTTTCGTCTCCCTTTCTCTCACCCTCATTATTTGCTGAGAGCTGTTATGCGAGGAGAAGAGGGGGTATTGCCGTTCTGCTGCAGCACGAAAAGAAAGAACTCCGTCTGAAAGCTCTTCACTGTTGCCAAAAATACGTTTTTTTTTTTTTTTTTGAACCAGAACACAAACTGGAACACACACACACGCACACACACACTCACGTAAGTGCTTGTTACAGAACATCAGACCATGAACAACATGCGCTCATGAAAAAGAAACAAGGACTATAATTTAGAAGCAGGTAGCAGGAAGCTGCCTCTGTGGAGTTGCCTTTTATTCCCTGTCTCACTCTTTCTTTCTCTCTCTCTTGCTCTCTTTCTCTCTCTATCTCTGAATGGACTCTCATGTACAGAACTTTCCCTGAAACTTGGTACAGCTGCCTGGCCAACTAGCCACAGTTACTCTGTCTGTTGGACTCTGTGGTGAGACAGTGTGCGGCCGTGGACGAACCTTTTTAGCGTTTGGTGCGTGTCTGAGGTGGGTGGAGAAGTGACCACCCACAGGCGTTTTTAAAAGTGGACGCTGGGCATCTCCCCTGCGTCTTGGCGGCTTGGAGAGCTCCAAGAACCTTTGGTTTTGTTTGTTTTTTTTTTTTTTTGCAAGCATCCTGGGATGTTCTCCAAGCCCAAAGCCTGTACATACGAACCACACAAGCAAGCTCTAACACCAATCCTATACTGTAAATAGAAGCGAAAAGCAACAAAAGAGTATCAACTACTATGGGAGGAACTGATTTCTTGTACTGCAACGACAAAAAAATACAAAAGAGTGGAACAAAAACAATGAAATAAAGTCAAATGTTTGGGGAATTTGTGACCTGAATGGCACACTCACTCTCTCTCTCTCTCTCACTCTTTCCTTCGCTCTCTCAGGCTCTCGTTCGCCTCCACCGCTGCCCGGTGACATTGTGGGAAAATGTAATAAGTGCGGACAGAGAGAGAGAGAGAGCAAGAGAGGGAGGAAGACAGAGAGAGGGGAAGTTTTTTTTTGCATAAGCAAGAAGCTGACCCTGGCACAATTTTTATGTAATATAACCCATTCCATGTTGTTTGACCGCTGACCTCTGACCTCTTACATTCCCAGACCATTTCATAGCAGTGAGTGGGGGCGGGGGACACGCTCGTGCCTCGAGGGTTGGGTGGGGCGGGGCGGGGCACACTGGTGCATTGTGGGTTTATCGACAGCAGCCATAATGTAGTGCTGGTTGTGTCTTGTTAGACTGATGTAATAGATACAGGTAACTAGATTTTCAGCTATTTAGGACAGAAATTCTATATATAAAAATATATATATATCTTTGAGATGGGACACAATTCAAATAAGAATCGTTTCACAAGTGAGACTGTATTTTCACTGTTTTCTTCTTGCCATCATCCAGAGTTTGTACGTGTACACATGAGGACGTACGAGTGTGTGTGCATTTGCGTGCCTGTACTATAAAAGATTGTATGTTTAAGAGGCTATTTTTGGCAGGATAGCTGGACCCACAAAAGAGCAGAGTAAATTTATACGTATAAGATGACACTATATTAACTCCCACCTCTAGACTAACTCCAAGCCTTCGTCAGGCGAAAAAGTGTTTGGAAGTTCGGTTGCCATGGAAACTGGGACCGTCATGCTTGAAAAGCAGATGTTGTGGTTCGTTGGATGGTCCTCATCAACTTGTCGGAAAATCACGTCAACAAATCAAAGCCAGCAGTTGGTCTGTTATCATCTGAACACATACATTTGCTGAGATTACCCAAGCCCGGCATGGTGTACTATGTCGCTATGGTATCATAGTTAATTAGGAGTTGTTCGAGTGCAACTTACTTGTGGTAAATCTGGAAATTTGGGCATTTACAAGGACCATAGAAACACACCATTAGCATTTCGTCGCTGTCCAAAAAAAACAAGTATCTACAAAATAGTAAGTTTACAGGAGAGGGCAAAAACATTATTTATTTTCAATTTAAGTTAATATAATAAGAATTAATTTCTAGCAATTTTGGAGCATTTCTATTGGTCCAGTCATCATGAAGTTTCACAGAATGTGAAGGGCAGCTGCTGAGCTCAAATGAAGTAGAACAGTAAATAAAAAAAAATATAGAGTGGCATGTTTTACTTTGGACAGCGATGATTTGTTAGGGGGCGTTCAGATGATGTCTTTCCGAAGTCTCTCAAGCGCACCTCTTTTTTTTGTGTTCTTTATGGAGCAGTGCGCACTGTGACTGAAAAGTGCTCCTCTAGTCTGTGCAATGCACTTCTAATTTTTTACGTTGAAAAAAGGCACCATACATCATCCAGAGCTGACCGATCAGTATCAAAGATGCCCTCTCTCCACTCACTCATCTAACGTGGAGCTATTTTTGGCAGTTTTCAAACACCTCTGTTGAATACGCAGGACTAAATGTACTACAACCTGATCATAAAAGTAGTTTTCTATTTAATATTACGTGATTTTCTCATGTTTTTGCATACTGATGTCAATCAAGTGCATTTACCCACCCCATAAGAAGTGCATCCTGTTTCTTTTAAAGCTTGAAACATGGTGCACCTCATGTTTAAAAGGACATCACCTGAACACCCCCTTGGAAAGGCAGGCATGCGTTCTGTGATCTGGAATCAGCAGAGAGGGCGTCAGTATGTGCTCCTTGACCCTTGGAACTCCGAACGATTCAAGGAATCTAAATCTAAATCTGCAAATATGCAATGTCTAAGAATTTGCATGTAATGTGAACATGTGCACTAGGGGGCAGTGCTGCATTTTTACTGCAAAACGAAGAAGAAACAGAAGCAATCTCTTGTGAACGTTGGGAAAGGTTTGTGTTACATTGTAGTAAAGAGAGAATGGATAGAAGTCAAATAATGAATGTGAGAAAGAAATACAGAGTTGTTTAGTTATTTTGTTTAGTTTTGCTGGGTCTTGTGCCAAACCCAGTCCTGCAAAATCTACTTCCCTTCTCAACCAATCAGCACTGCAGATTCACATGTTAAGATTTTGGACGTGTGCATGTACGATTACCCGTACACAAATATGTTTGCGTGCAGTATAAATCAGCCTTTAGCCTTCTCCCTTTTTATTTTGTGCGGATTTATTTATGGATATGTGTCTGTTTTGTTTATTTATTCACTTATTCGCTTATTCATGTGCAGGGTCTTTCACTCGGCCGAAAAAAAGTGCAGAGAGAGAGAGAGAGAGTGAGAGCGAGACAGAGAGAGAATATGCATGTTTCATGGCAGTCTGGGGAACAGTGGGTGTCAATATTAGAGCAGTGTTGAGGCCGGGCTGTGTTTGGAGCTCCGTTTGAAGCGGCGGGGCACAGACACCAGCCTTACACTCATAAATAGGGAGGAAGAAGCTGATGCATCCTCAACACGTCATCATTCAGTCACAGCATCACCTTTCACTCTATTCCTCTCACTCTCTCTCCCCCTCTCTCTCTCCTCAACTTCTCAGAGTCTTCTTAGGGGACGTGTGTGCAATACAGTGCATGGGAACTCAGCTTGTATTAATGGCTAGTCGGTGTGTGTGTATGTGTGTGTTTTTTACTGGTGTGCTCTATGGGAAAGGTCAGAATATCCCAATATTCCAATAATCATGGAAGTAGAAAAATTGAAGAGTAAATTAGGATTTTTGATATGCAAATTAGCTCTCGGCTCAGTTGTCTGAACTCTATTCTCCAACAGAGGGCAGTGTAGAGACAGTATCACATGCGTTGGTCAAAAAATGAAGCATAGAAAAACTACTGCAGCCAGCTAAAGGCTCCTGCACACTGGACAAGAAGCTCTATGCATCCCTGCCAGAGGGTCTCTGGTGCCGGATTTAGATAGTACACATAAACAAGAAGCTCAAGCTCATTTTCCACTCTGTTCATATAGATTTGATGGAACTTTCAGTGTCATTCACATCTTTACAACTTTACAACTCCAACAGCTAAAAGGGATGAGGTGAAATATAATAAAATTGCCCTTATTCATCAAAGCTGCATATGGCCAAATCTGATTAAAATGAGTGCACACAAATTTCTCAGTTTTGTTATTCATCAGTTTCATCTTTGGCGTACCTTTATGATCAAACTCACGTCTGGAAGGAGTGTGTGAATTCCAGCATAATAGTTTAACAACCTGAAAAAAATGCTTGATTTACAGTGAACTAACCAATGCTATTATCAATTTCTGCTGCGTTTTATTGGCTCCCTACTGAAATATCTGCATGAATTAGTGTATGCTTTTTGTAAATGAGGTGCTTGTAGGCTGGTGCTTGATTTCACGCACTGAAGCTGATTCATCGTTTTGTTTTTTAAACACCCAGAGCTGTAGAATACAAAATGTACAAGACAAAATGTTAGCATTTGTTAGGGAGCGTCCAAATTCTCTCAAGCACACTTCTTTTCTTTAGTGTTCTCTATGGAGCACACTGTGACTGAAAGGCGCTTCTCTAGCCCGTGCAGTGCTCTTCTCGTTTTTCATGTTAAAACATCAACTTTTCTGCTGAGCGCCCACAAAAAACCGATACGTCATCCAGGGCTGACCAATCAGTATCGAAGATGACTTCTCTCTAGTCACTCATCTAACAGGAGCAGGAGCTAGTTTTGGCTGCTTTTGGACACCCAAAGCTGATGAATATGCAAGACAAAATGTACCAAATTTGGACATTAAAACAGTTTTCTATTTAATATTATATGTCAGTTTCAAAATGTTTACCGATCATCTCGGATTGCTGTCTCATGTTTACCCTCTTGTTAATCAAGTGTGTTGACCCACCCCATTAAAAGCACATCTTGTTTAAAAAAACATTACCTGAACACCCCTTGGAAAGGCAGGCCTGCGTTTTGTTAGCTGAAATCAGCAGAGAGGCATCTGTATGTGCTCCTCAACCTTGGAACTCCAAACAATTCAGGGAATCTGAATCTGCATCTGCTACATCTAAGAATTTGCATGTAACGTTAACGTGCACTGAATTTTTACTGCCGAACGAAGAAAAAACAGAAGTAATCTCTTGTCAAAGTTTGGAAAAGTTTTGTTACGTTGTAGTAAAGATAGAATGGATAGAAGTCAAATATCGAATATGATAAAGAAACATTGAGTTGTTTAGTTATTTTGTTTAGTTTTGCTGGGTCTTGTTTC